GACCGACGGCTCCTGCTCTGGGCAAGTTCATTCGCGAAAAGGCGGGGCCGTTGGTCCCCTCTTTTCTAGCCTCAACGGCCGCGGGTGCCAAGCAGCACCCCTTCCCGGAATCTGTTCTCAACGAGATCCGTGATTTCATCTTGCCCCGGCACACCCAACCGGATGCTGGACAGCCCTTTCACTTGGACGTGATCAGGAGGCTCCTGTGTGACATCCAAGATGTCGATGCTGAGTATCCGCAGATACTAAAAGAAGGAGTCCCTCTTGGAGTGGATACCCCTACTCTCCAATCTCCGGGCGTCTGGCCCTTGAAGTCGGAACTCATTGGTGAAGAGTGGGACCCGGTGGAAGCTCCACCCCCCACTGGCCATGCCAATTACTCCTCCGCGGACACATTTAGGGAGGAGATTCGGGCCACCTTTGTGGAGGAAACCCCCTTGGGCATGGTCATTGGACCGTGCACCCGCGCCGAGGCAGCGGCGCACTGCCAATGTGCAGAGGACGAGCTCTGCCCCTGCCCCATGGCAGGGATTGATGAGTCGGACAAGATCCGTTCCATCTTCGACGGGTCTAAGGGTGGTGCTAATCTCCGTATACAACAGAATACCGTAGAGAAAACCACGGCCCCGACGGTCATGGACTGCGTCCAATGCCTGCATTGGCTTCGGGCATCTCGCTCTCGTGGGAAACCAGGTGCCCATGGCCCTGATCCTGAAGAGCAGGCAACCCTGGCTACTGCCCCAGGGGCGACAAGCCGAGAACAGGACGGCCCCTCGGGCAACGCAGACTCCAGTGCCGGCTCCGGCCGACCCTGGAGCTTCCCGGGCTCTGACGAGGACTGGATTTTGCTCAAAGCTGATGTTACTAAGGCGCACAGGAGAATCAAGATTCTCCTAAGAGAGTGGCGTTACCAAGTTGCCCAGCTTGGTGAGGAATGGTGGGTCAACACCGTAGGCACCTATGGAATGGCCAGTGCCCAGCTCTACTGGGGAAGGATGGCTGCCATCCTTCTTAGGATTGTGTATGCCGTGTTTCCCGAGGTCGACTGGGGTTTTGTCTTTGTCGACGACTTTGCCTGGCTACTCCGTAAATCGAATTCCCCTCTGCTGGCAACAGCGATTTGTTTGCTGTTGCTTGCTCTAGGCACTCCTCTGAGCTGGAAGAAAACCCTGCTTGCTGAGGTTAATACTTGGCTTGGCTTTGTCATTGACCCAAAAGGACCCTGTGTGCAGATGGCCCGAGACAAGCACCTGCTTGTCATCGGCATTCTTGAAGAGCTTAAAAGCGGTAAAGTCATGTCGGCTTCTCAGATCGCTAGCGCTTTGGGTAGGCTGCAGTGGGCGACAACGGCCTGCCCCCTCACCAAGCCTTTCCTCCAACCCTTTTGGGCTTGGAAGAAGGCCTGCCTGACAGCAGGACGTCCGGGTAAGCTTATCCGTGCGCTCTCGGCTCTGCTCCTCTCTCTTTTTGACCAGAAGTTCCGACAAGCATCGCCGTATGCCCCGCTTGCCATTTGGTCGGGGGCAAGTGATGCTAGCGCCTCAGATGATGGCAGCGCCTATGTGGGCGGCTGGCTCTCTAACGCGGACTCCCCGTCCAAGTCGGAAGTGTTCTGGTTCCACTACCAGGTCACTGCAGAGCGGCATCCATGGGCATTTGACAAGGGCTGCCCGAAAAAGCGCATTGCTGCCCTCGAGATGTTTGGCACACTGATCCTCTCTCACTTTCTCATGGAGAAGGCGCCTGCGTTCATACCGAACCTCAGGCTCCCCCTGGTCAGCGACAACCAAGGGAATGTGTACTCGCTCCTGAACGATAAGTCCAAGAGGATGCCAACGTCGGTCATCCTCATGGAGATACTGTACCAGCTGCACCGGCATGGTATGCAGCTCGCACCCTCCCACGTCAAGCGTGACTTCAACACTTGGGCTGATGATCTGACTCATCCCAACTTTCAAGGTTTCACTCCATCTCTCTGCTTGCCGGTGGAACCCGTGCTCGAGCATTTTTCCCTCATCCGCTCTATCCTGGAAGATCGTATTTTCGACGATCCTTCTGACCTCACCCATGGGCCCGCGCAGGGCGCCCGGTGAGGATGTGGCTGCCTCCTGTACAGGCTTCTTTCTGGACGGCACAAAATTTTGGAACTCTTTTCTGTACAAGGAGGGTTCCCGATCCACACGTGCCGTAGGCCCTGAAGGAGGGGACCCTCCTGTGCTTCGAAACGGCCTCTTTCTTGGCTGAGGTCTTCGACCGAAGGAACATCCCGGGAGTCGGCAGCCACACCAATCCACCATGCAAAAGAGGGCTTGCGTGCATGGTTTTTGGTGTGCCATTTTCATGCGGATATCTGACATAAAAGGCGTTGTCCCGAGGAAAACCTAAGATAATGTACGTTTACACGAGTTAATGTAGGTTTTCCCGCGGAAATCCAAGGAGAATCGCACCAAATCCGTCCAGCATGTAAGAAAAACTGTGTTTTCCCTAAAGAAAAATCAAGGAAAATAATATGTTTCTTACAGCAAACCACGGAAAATCACACTAAATTCGTCCAAAACGCAAGGAAAATAGTGTTTTCCTTAGGAAAACCCAGATATATGATGAACCCCACTGGCCTGGCGTATTCGAGGTACATGATCGCAGGAATCACCAAATGAGGGGGGTGTTTAAATTTAAATATACATGAAGACTCGGAATCACGCGTGTTCAAGGTATATGATAGCCGGAATCGCCAAGTGAGGGAGGCTCGTTTAAGATATATGATGAACCAAAGTCGCCCAATCGGGGTCGTGTTTAATATATATGATGAACCCCACTGGTCTGGCGTGTCTAAAGCATATGATAGCCGCAATCGCCAAATTTAAGGAAGCGCTCAGCGGGGGGCGTGTTGAAGTACATGGTAGCCAATGTTGGCGTGTTTAAGGTATATGTGATAACCAGAATCCCCATTGGTCTGACATGTTGAAGGTATATGTGATAGCAGGAATCGCCGAATGAGGGGCGCCTGTTCAAGATATATGATGCTCCGGAATCGCCCAATAGGGGTGTGTGTTTGAGATATATGATGAACCGAGATTGGGATTTAGGTATATCGGTTTCTTAGTGTTCAAAACTTAATGGATGTTATTCGTGTTCTAAAGTCTTTTACGTGGGTTTCCAAACCGAAAGGAAAAAGGGCGCAAATAGCCCAAAAGAACAAACGGAATTACCCTAGTGATCAGCCCGAAACGTTGTAGGTCCCATCAAAGCTACCAGCCTGAGTGGCCATGAGGAATGCAGTGTTGAGGAATGAGGGGGGGGGGAACGCGTTTAAGATGTATGATGCACCGGAATCGCCAAATGAGGGTGAGTGTTCAAGATACGTAATGGACCGGAATCGCAATTTCATATGGGTCTTAGTTGTGTACAGGTTTATTATTGTTTTTTCTACTGTTTGTATGTGTGTTTTATTTTGGAGTTAGTATCCATACCTTACAAAGACGCAGATCAAACACAACAACGACGCAAATAACCCAATGATTTGCTGGAAAACGCAGCCAGTACCAGATAACACCAAAAATGACGCAGACAACACAAAAAATGAAGGCGCAACTAACCGAGTGATTTGTGAGAAAACCCACTAGGTGCCAAACAAAACTAACAAAAAGATGCAGATAGCCCCCAAAATAAAGACGCAGATAACCCAAAAAATAAAGACGCAGATAAACCAACAAATAAAGACGCAGATAACCCAACAAATAAAGACGCAGATTACTATTTCTCCTCCACAATACCCCATTTGGGTCATTTAATAAATACAGGAGGTGTGAGTCCCAACCAAGACTGTCTTCTGGGGTTCAGGCAGGTCTTGCTTTTTTGAGGCATCCGGAAACCGGAAACCGGTGGAGGGTCTGGCCACCCTAGGGTTTCGGGCTTTGCCAGCTCTTAGGGGTTTACGGCCTTCATGCTGTTTCCCACCCAGCAGCTCTTTTTGGGTTCTTGAAAAGCAGAAAGCTTCTCGGGGATGCACGTGGTGATAGCGAGGGTTCAGCGCCCCTGCGGTGCACAGCTACGGTAGCTGGCTCTCTCTTGCCAAGAGAGAAGTTCGCGAGATCGAGGGTGACACTTGAAGGATAGAAGTTCCGGATCGCGAGCCGGAGGAGGAAGGCCACGCTGGTGTCCGACCTTTCAAAGCGAAGTCGGGATGTATGGAGCAGTTTCCGCCAGCCGTGCCACGAGCCCTATACTTCTCAGCCCTTCCACAGCTGGTGACCAGCTACGCCTACACACGTTTACTGTACGAAGCAGAAGCACAAAGGGGAGAACAGAACACTCCGAGAAGGAGCCACAGGAACAGCAGCCGTGCGACCGAAACGGCTTACCCTGCAGAGAAGGCCTGGCTTCCATCCTGGACCAGTCCGAGTTGCGACTCGGAACACAAGCTACACGCAAAAGGTGGGTTCCACTGCCTCCGTGCTTCAGATGAGAAGGTGCAGGACATCAGGCTTCACCGCCCTTGCGCCAGGATTAAGGCTGTTGTTGATGGCCGCAAGCACCTTTACAATAGTTGGATCACGCGGCATGCCGCTTGCCTCTACAAATGCTTTGCTGTTTTCCGGTCGCGGTGCTCGCCCTGCGGCACTCATCCATTGTGTTCTTGCTGTCACTTACAGGTTCGTGGTTTCTTTCAACGCGCTTTTCATCTCGATTGCACTCCCGATTTTCCAAGAGCCTTCATGTTGCCAGGAGAGCACTTGGCAGACTCTCTGCGGCTGGTGTCGGCTTCTTAGATTCTGCGCATAGGTGTTCCTTTCACGTCCTGCTCGACTGTTGAAGCTTCCACCACATCTAGAGGTTTTCACCCGTCACAGCTCCGTGCCAAGTACAAAACTCAGGCCGGGAAGAAGGCGTCTTCTCCCTTTTCAGTGGGCTTCTGGCCTCGCTTCTCTCAACGGCCTTCGAGGAGGCGCAAGAACGGCTCAGACGGATCGACCGGCGGCCGGGGGCGGTCTGGCCAGGCCATGGACTTTGTGCTTGGGGCGTGCATCGATCATGGAAGCGCGGATGCGGCGGACAAGCTCGTCTTGAAGGCGAAGCGCAGAGCCGCAGAGCCATGGGCGGAGCCCCAAACCCGCTGAGCTTTCGGGCTTTGTTGCAAGGCTTGTGGGAGCAGCGTGGTGTCCGTCTTTACCTCTCCCATCAACTACGTCAGTGTCATCCAGAGGCTCGATGTGACCCGGTTCTCTGCTAGACAGGCAACAGTCAGCTGCGAGTCCTCGCTCCCCGTCCCTCCTTCCGACCCCTGAAGAAACCGAATGTGATGCAAAGGAAACAAGCACAGCAATGTAATCTTTCAATAAGAAAGGAGCTTATGAGCGCGGCATATCTGTTGGCTCGCAACATGAAGATCCTGTGCCTCTCAGGGACAAGGCAAGAGAGGGTTGACTTCAACGTGAGAACTGGTCCTATACTTTTGGTAACACTGTCCCAGATGACAACTCAGAATTCGACAGTCTCTAAATAAGATATGCGGAGAAACAATTCTCGTGTGTCGGCGTAAAAGGCACAAAAGCACCAAATAGCGCAGATTCATTTCAATATCAAACACGTCAGAAATCCGGCTGAGGTGCGAAGACCTCGGCAGGAGGGTTCAGAACTCGCCATGGTTCCCCAAATCCTGGCATCTGTAAAGCCATGTGCGTTGCACAGACTTTGTTTGGGTATTCATGGCGTGTTTGAGCCTGGTGATGGTGATGGGCAGCCCTGTGTCAGAGTTTCTTGTGGTCTGCATGACAGCAATCCCGCCAGTCTTTACAAGCCTGACTTCGAGCGGCTCCTTTTCGGATGCTGGCTGTGTCAGCCGGAATCGGGCACATGTCGTCCGCGTGAGCTCGCCCGCAAGCTTGCCGTCATCGGAGCGGTGCTGGAAGAGTCATCCGACATCATCGTATGCCCGCTCAACTTCCAGCAAGTCACTCGAAGAGCTCCCAGCGCCCCCAGCGCCCCCGGCTGCTGTGCAGGTGCCAGTCGCCACAGCTGCCAGGCTTCGCGAGGAGCGAAGCGGCGAAGCGCTTTCGAGCCGCCGAGCGCCGGAGAAAGAACGTGCTGCGGGTGCTGCGGGTGCTGCGCTGTGCTGTCGCAGGCCGCGGCCTCTGGGAAGCATCATCCGAAGCCTGCCCTGGCGAGGCTTCGGGACTCGCATCGGCTCGCGGCCCCCGGGCCCCGCACTAGCACTGCACCCTTCCTCTGAGGCTCCTTCAACCAGCTGCTCCTCTTCTCCGGCATCCTGGGCCTCAATGTCAGGCGAAGCAGGGGGCAGGGCGGCAAGCAGGGCAGGGCGAAGCAGGGCGAAGCAGGGCAACAGGTCAAGGCATGCAAGGCATGCAAGGCATGCAAGGCATAAACAACTCGTCGTTGTGTCTCCCGCGTGGCGAAGGCTCATCCAGTGGAAGATCCAGCTCAAGGCTCGGCCGGCTCAGCGCAACAGCGGGAGCGGTGAATGGCGGAATGGGGGGGAAGTCTGTTGCGTTTGAAGGAGGAAGAGAGAGAGCTGGGGGATGAGGAGTGAGTCGAAGTCCACAACGAGGCCTTTCTGAGGCCGCCGAAGGCCGCCCTTGGGCCCTCTAGCCCGAGCAGCGCGAAAAGTGCCCCCTCTGAGGAGGACGCGTCCTCTCCGCGACGCGACCCCCCTCATCGGCCCTCTAGTTCTCACTGTCAATAGCCTCCTCGCTCGGATTGTTGGGAGGCTCTTGTGGACCTTGTGGAGCCTTTGGCTTCCAGCGCACACGCGTAGGGCCTGTTCGTGCGATGAGCATAGCCAACTCTGCAACAATGCAGCACCCAGCAGAGTGAGGTCATGACCGCTAAGAGACTTCCGACTAGACATGCGCAGTGCGGAGCCTGCGAAGCATGGGCCAATGTGGTGCTTGGACGTATCTGCGCGCCACTGCTCGAAGCTCAGCTGGGAGGGAGCTGAGTGTCCGGGCGTCGGCACTGTCGGCACTGCTGCCGCAAGCGGAAGCGGAAGATGTGAAAGGGGTTGTACATGCTGGGCTGCCGGTGTAGACAAGAGAGCTCTTGTCGCCGGTAAGTCCTGTAGCTAGGGAGAAGACTATCGTGACAGCTCTTGCAAGGACCTTCGTCGCGAAGAGGACACCTTGAGACGGTGACGCCGGGGCCGTAAGAAACCGCTGTTGCCAGGAAGCTCATGTTCCAGGCTGGGCCCCGCTGCCGCGCTGTCGCCGTGCTGTCGCCCTTCTGCCCCTTTGCTTCGCCATGCAGCCGCAGTTGCGCCCCGCAGCATTTGGGTTCGAGAGTCCCCAGCTGGGCCCCCCCGCGCGGCCGGTCCTCTCCGCGCGGTGGCGCCATGGGCCAGGCTGGGCTGGGCCGGTTTGGATCCGCAGTTTGAGGCGGTTCGCCAAAAGCGTGGCGCCTGGGGGCCTGGCTGCTACTGCGCGAGGCGGGCTCCGGTGCCAGCGCCGCCAGCGCCGCCAGCGCGGAGCTGCTGACGCTGGGAGGCTGCTCGCGGGCCCAGCCTCTCTCGCAGGGCGGCGGCGCATCGCATTTTGCGCATGTCTCTCCATGCCACAGCAGGAGCCAGCAGCAGCTAGCAGGTGGTATAGGACTCTCCCTCTCTCCCTTTCGCGGTTCGCTCACTCTGAGGCCTCGAGAAGCTGGGCTCGGCGCTCAGCTGTTGGAGAGAGGAGGGGTTGCGCTTCCAAAGCGGGAGCGGCGGGAGCGGCGGAGGTGATGACGAGCTGCTCCGGGCCGCCTTCGCCTTCCTGCACTCGCTCGGGCCCCGGCTGCCTCGGCCGGCGGGCCGCGGGGGCCGCGGTCCCGTCCCTTTCTCTGAGGCGGCCGAGCTTGCTGGAACGCGTCCGGGCGCGGTTCTCGGCGCCGCTGGACTTCGAGGCGGCGTCCCCTGTGGAGAGAGAGAGCGCGGGAAGGGGAAAGAAAGCCGAAAGCAGAAAGCAGAAAGGGTGCTGATAAGTCAAGCTGGACCCGTCTCACAATACGGGGAATCTGACAAGCGGCAAGAAGGCATGTGGTTGCAATTGCAACCTGCCACTGGCCGGTGGCTCCTGAAAGCTCCGAGGACCTGCAACAGACTCCAGCCACAGCCGAAGTCTCCAGACCACAGCCGAGCCCCGTGCTGGTGGCTTTGCCCTGGTGGGCCCCTGGCTGCCTCAGAGGAATTTCTGCGTTGTACCGTTGTGGCCTCCTCTTCAATGCGACTGTCGCATCTCATTGTCAGAATGTCAAGATGACCGACCATCTCGTCCTCCATCGCTTCCTTGATTGTGATCGTCGCCCTCTTTGATCGTGACCACATGGCGTTTTTCATCGCGCTCGTCTCGCACCAGCTTGGGTCTTCCAGGTTTCTCTCGGAGAAGCACCGCACACCTCTTGGGAAAGGCAGAGGGCGAAAGGCTTGTCCCGTGGAAGAGACAGCTGGGAAGGAGGTGGCGCAGGCAGACAGTGTTCCCGTTGGGCCGGAGACAAGGGCTATCCCGAAATCCTGTCAAGTTGCCAACCTCACAAAGGAGGAGGGTTGTGTTCGAGCGCTTCGGCGTCGAGTGAAAAACTTGTGGACAGGCTCGGCTACTTGAGTGTTGCCAGCGACGCGAACCCTGATGCATTCCCGGGCTTTGTCGAGAAATGCGACTTCGAAGAGTCGGACCAGGAGCTAAAAAGCTTCAAGGGGATCGTGCCGCAAGCTCGGCTTGGGATTACATCGCCGACGCCCAACGGGGATTTGGTATCGTATGCGCAAAGGCGAGACTTACATGGATTGTCTTCAAGAGCACACACCACTGGGGTCTGAGCCCGCAGTTTGTTGCGTACCCTGCGTGGTTGTCCAAGAACTTCGACGTGCCACCCGCTGGGGCTGGCAGGCCAGTCATAAGAGATCCCCCCTTGCGCCTTGCGCGTGAGGAGTGCGACTTCGACGTGGCAAACTTAGCATGCTGAAGCAGGCTGACGAGCGCTGCCGAGGCGGATGCCCATGGCCCAGATCGTGCTATTCAGAAGAGCAGGAAGCAAGGCCCATGCAAAGAAAGCTACATGCATGACCTGTGGACACAAAATAAGTGTAAACAAATGTGTTGCCGCAAAGTTGATGTCGTCGAAAGCAGTGCGTGGGTGTGGGTGCAACAAGGTGGACTACCGCTTCAGCGCCCGAAGCGTCCACCAAGTCTATACTGTTTTGAGTGTTGTACGGCGATTGAGGAACTCCGTCAACGTGTGCACCAGATGGGAAGGACTTCGCAGGTCCAATGTTCGTCGTTGTGTTTGAGTGCATGCCACTACCTGACAACAGGTTCGATTGCCCATTATGTTGAGCGAGCTATATTTGGTCCCGATGTGATGTCTCGAACAAGCGCGGCTTATCATGTCATGAAGCCTTTTATTTCCGTACTCGCCGCGATACCTTTGCCCACTCCTCGCGGCGTTCGCTCTCCTCCTTAGGAAAAACCGCAAGTCAGTGGAAGCGCGTCAAGGATGTCGGACCTTTGCTACATCCATAAAGCTGGTCCTGATCCGCGAGAGCGTCCGAGGTACCTGCTTCCTCCACTTCCTTCCTCAAAGTCTCAATCAAAGTTGCTCTTACACAGTCAGCAAAACCCTCGCGGAGTGTGAGGCTCGGCACGGCCCACTCCTGCAGGAAAGCTTTTCTCTGTGCTTCCCAAGCACAGTAGACAGCTCAGTAAAGGTTGCCACATCTACCATGCACAATGCACAAATGCTTTTCGCATACAAACTTCTTGATGACACTCTCGCTGTCTCCTGGTCAAGAAGCAGTTGGAGGAACTTAACTATGAAGGAAGTTCACAAGCGCAAAGTGGCCCAGTGGACGGTGGAGGCCAAGTACAAGTCGCGATGTCGAGCAGGGAGACCCAAGATCAGTCGTAAAGTGAAGACCCAGGGCATTACGAATGCGTACTTCCAAAGGGCCGGCGATTTTGTAGGGTACTCCTATTATCCAGCCTAAGGGCGGTGTACCAAGGCTAAATCCGGTAACCACCTGCAGTTCTATGAGATGTTATGGATCCACAAATGGAGGACGTAGCCTTTGGAAGTGCCTCAAGGCGGTCTTGAGGCACGAAGGTCTTCGAGACAACAAGATGTGCCGCGAACGGAGCTGAGATGCTCCTGACGTTGCATGTGGACAACTTTTGCGGGCATGTAGGCAGTCATGCGACTGGATCGAGGAGTGCAAGTGTGGAGCCATCGACACAGGAGTTTTCAGGTAATTATTGTGGAAGTACGGCAAGACGCGAGAAGTATACGATATCCACAATGTCACAATCCACTTGGAGCGACACGCGAAGCGGTCACGATCACTAGTAATTAGGAGGACTAGTTGGCTCATGTTGACTCATGTTGGCTCACTTGCTTGGGTTGGGCTGTCGCCGGGTCGGTTTGTCGGCCAGAGCTCTCGGACAGCAGCGCTCAGCTTCGCACTTCACCAGAAGCTGTCGACTCAAGCAAAGGCTAAGCCGCACTGGACGCTGTCGTCAAGACTTAGGAGGGTGGACTCTTATCTTCTCTGGGATGTTGGGCTGGAGTTCGCCCGGGTCTGATGAGGGACATAAATGTTGTGGTGGCCGATCGATAGCAGCGTGAAGCTCGCGGCTTTACACACCCTACTCGTAACGCCAGAAGAGTCAACGGTGTCCTGGTGAGCTTCTTCCAGTGCGTGCAGATTGTGTGTGCTCAATTCGTACGGTGTTTTGAAAGACGCTCACTAGGGGTCGAGCGCTTAAGGGGGTGCGTCGGCCGCCGAGGATCCAGGGCCTGTGACGCCCGGATCGCTGGCGACGGGGACGGGTGGCATTACGATCCTCGCAGAAAGTGAGTGGAGCCCTCCGCGGCTCCACTGTAGTGAGGCGCCGGGAGATTTTGCAGACCGCCCCTACAATTTTTTCGCTCAGTTTCTAAGTGGGCAGGTGAAGCCAGGCCAGCCTCTTGCCTGGCAGTGTCCTCAGATTTCGATCCTGACGTCTTTCGGTGCTCCAGGGCTTTCGCTTTCTTCCGCCGCTGAGGACCTCGCTCCCAGGCTGAGTCTGGGCTTTCAACTTCGCCGTTCTGTGCATGGCGTGCGAAGGATGCATGGGTTGCGAGGCCTCGCTATGGCTGCCAGTCGAATCGAGGGCTTCCCTGGATTCTGGGCCCTGCGCTTTCCGGGTGCCCGGAAGCTGGAGCAGCTCGGCGAGCTGTGCATTTCCGACGGGTCAGAAATCTGACAGTGACACAAGCAATGCACTGTGGCTGTGGCTGTGGTGCTGAACCCAGGTTCCTCTTGAACGATGGCTACAACAACTGGCAGAAGTGGCTTGGCAAGCCAGGAGCCTGCTCCAGCAGTTGCGCAACATGCACTTGGGCTAAGTTGGCAGGCGCAGTGAAGCGACACACTGCAGACGGCAGAGAGGGAGAGACAGAAGCGAGCCAGAGTGCTTTCATTTGGGGGCCTTTCTCCTTAGGAACGGTGGTGCGAACTTTGTGGCCGACGGGCCGGGGCTCTTTCTGCTGCGCGACAGCAAACTGCGGCGCTGGGCCGAAGGAGCGGCGGCCACGCCCCAGCAAATGGAGGCCGGGCGGGGCCCGGGCGGGGCCGGGCGGGGGGCGGTGCGTTGGGCTGTTGGGTTTGGGAGGGGAGGAGGCGACTTGCGGCTTGGGGGAGCGCTCCGGCGCCACGTGTCAGGCAGCTCCGGAACTAACTGGGGACGCCTTGGAGATGGCCAAGGAGGCTCACTGTGCTCACTGCTCACTGCAGGCCTATTGGGTTCTGCTCGGCAGGGGGGCATCGTGTTCCTGTTTCAGAGCCGGTGGGCCAAGCCGCGTTTGCACTACCGCCTCAGTGAGGCCGGGCTGTCGGGCTGTCGGGCTCGGCCCGGCGGCGGGTGGTCTTAGAGTGCGCGACTTCGCAGGCTGAGCCTTGGACCAGCCCGCCTGGCGAGGTGCCCCGCGAGACGAGACGCTTCGCCGAGAGAGTCGGTCTCTGTTCGCCCGCTGAGGCGATGGAGCCCAGCGGACTTCGCGGATTTCCGCACCGCGACGGCTGGTGGGCGCTCCGCCTGCCGACCGCTCAGGCCCGCTCAGAGCGTCCTGCTTAGCACCTCCGCGTGATTGGCGTCCGGGCCTCGGCTCTTTGTCGCAGGCTCTGGAGTGCGTGCCAAATGATGGAGGATCTCAGTGGCACAAGGCCCCAAACCCCCAACTTTGTCCCTGTGCGAAGCTGCATGGCCAGTACTTCGAGCAAGGTTCGTGGTGGGAACTGTCACCTACCCGGCGGGGCAGCCCTGGACTGACAGTGCAGCCGGCACGAGGGCACGAGCGCGAGCGAGGTCCTGGCGCTTGGACGCTGATGGGAGAAAATCTACAGAAGCTCGGGCAAGCCCAGGCCCAGGGGAGAGGGTCAGCTGGTCAGATGGGCTGGCATCTGCTCTGGCAGGCAGAAGTTACCGCTCGGCCTCAGGCGGCTGCGTCGTCCTGGCTTTAGAGGGCCCAGGAGCCGCAGGAGCCGCAGGAGCCGCAGGAGACTTGTTTTTCTCAGCTGAGGCCTCCCCCCGCGGTGAACGTGCCGGTCTCGGACTCTGCGCCACCAGTGACTCTGGAACCTGCCTCCGAAGGGCTGAGGCCGGGAGTTGCCGGACCGGAAGGGCAGGGGGGCATCGCCCTTCGGCTCTGGAGCTGAAGAAGTCCCGACTCAAGCCAGAGATTGAGCCTGAGCATCCTTTATGACTGAGCAGCAGACAGCAGGAGACTATAACCAGGTGTACATATCCTCAAGGTGTGAATTTTGTGCTGCGTTGTCGTTTTCGTTGTTGTTGTTGTTGTTGTTGTTGTTGTTGTTGTTGTAGTCGCTGTTGGTACAGACAAAAACAGCAGCCCGTACTTGTTGTTAATTAGAAGCAATTGGGAATGCTTCCGGCGACCGCATAGGGTGCCTGTAGAGTTTGGGGAAGTGCAAGCCATGGTTTACGCAGCAACTGCCCCATGATAGAACTGTGGTGTAGGCTGGGTGGTTGTTGTAAAAGGGAGGGGTCAAAGCAACAGACGGGGCTCCAGTTTTTGCCTCTACTACAGAGCCCCGTTTGTACACTACATTTCCACCACAGGTATAGGAATCTGCGATATCCAGAAGGGGTTCTGATGGGTGTTGGAAGGGCTTGTCTGGAATTTTGAGGGGTTTGCATTGGATACCCGTACACTCAAAACTATAGTTTCCAGTTACTATACAGTAGTTTGTACAGGCCTCGCAAATGCATAGTCTGCACAGCGGGGAACTGAAATACACACCAAATCCATTGAAAATACACACCAAAATCATTGAAATACGCACCAAATCCATTGAAAATACACACCAAAATCATTGAAGTACACACCGAATCCTTTGAAATACACACCAAATCCACTGAAATACACACCAAATCCATTAAACTACACACAAAATCCACTGAAATACACACGAAATCCATCGAAATACAAATACACTGAATACACACCAAATCCACTGAAATACACACGAAATCCACTGAAATACGCACGAAATCCACTGAAATACACACGAAATCCACTGAAATACGCACGAAATCCACTGAAATACACACGAAATCCATGATTGAAATACACACCAAATCCATTGAAATACAGACGAAATCCATTGAACATACACACCGAACTGTATACATCACAGGCACTGTGTTGTTGTTGGAGTAAAACAACATGACGGGGCTCTTGTTTTTGTCTCTACCGAATGAATGTACAGACAAAACGCAGATATATGGGTTGACGGGGCTGCAGTTTTTGTTTGTACCTTGTTCTTGTTGTTGTTGCTGCTGCTGCTGGTGTTGTTGTTGTTGTCGTTGTTGTTGTTGTTGTTGCTGCTGGTGGTGGTGGTGGTGGTGGTTGTTGTCGTTGTCGTTGTCGTTGTCTTTGTCGTTGTCGTTGTCTTTGTCTTTGTCGTTGTCTTTGTCTTTGTCGTTGTGGTTGTGGTTGTGGTTTTTGTGGTTGTGGTTGTGGTTTTTGTGGTTGTGGTTGTGGTTGTGGTTGTGGTTGTGGTTGTGGTTGTGGTCGTGGTCGTGGTCGTGGTTGTTGTTGTTGTTGTTGTTGTGGTTGTTGTTGTGGTTGTTGTTGTTGTTGTTGTTGTTGTTGTTGTTGTTGTTGTTGTTGTTGTTGTTGTTGTCGTTGTTGTTGTTGCTGCTGCAGTTGCACAGGTGCAGGTGCTTTGCTGTTATCTGTGGAGAGGCTGTTGGAGATGTTGGAGGGAAAGAACGTGGTGCTGCTCTATCGCAGTGCCTGGGCCAGCCCACACCTTCATTGCAGGGAGCTGACGGCGGAGGCAGTGTTTCGCGAGCGGTCCTGGTGCTAGAGTTAGAGTCTTGGGGTGCTGGCGGCCTTCGCAGGGCACGGCCGGTGCCTGGTCCCAGCTGCCAGGCCTGGCGAGATTTGGCGAGAGTGAGTGGCTCTTTTTCTTCACTCCTTGGGGCATCTCTCGGAGGCCTCTCCTTCGCAGCGTCGGCAGCCGCCGAGGAGATCACCGCTCACCGCCAGCTGGCTGCACACGTTCAGTGTCAGAGGACTTGGAAGGTGCAGGGGAACTCTTCGTGGCGCGGCTGCCTGCCAAGGTGCCCAAAGACTCGCATTCCTCAGTCAAAACGCCCTCACTTGGCGAGAGGTTCGAGGCCTGGAGTTCGTGCTGAACGACGGCGGCCCCCACTACCGCTGGGACAAGGCCTCTTACTCTTGGTACTTGCACGACAGGAGAGGCAGGAGAGAACGGAAAGAAGAAGCTAAGAAGCCAAGATGCCAAGAAGCCTAAGGCGGCCGGCGGCGGGAACTTCCGCATTCCGCCGATGTCCGAGGGTGCCGGGCACCTGGGCCTGCCGCCCTTCATGCACCGGGCCAAAGCCAAAAGCAAGGTCTGGCTGGTGAGCGGCGGCCGCCTGGAAAAGCTCCAGCCGCCGCCCTCGCCCTCCGATGCGCCCGCCGTGGCCGGGAGAGAGAGAGTGCTGGAGAGAGACAGAGACAGAGAGAGAGAGAGAGAGAGAGAGAGAGAGAGAGAGAGGGAGACGGAGGGCTTGCGGCGGTGCGGGCGGGCGGCGCTCTTGCTTTTGCTGCTTGGACTGTTTGTTACTCTTCGAGACGGCGGTGACTCGGACCTCCGTGGCGCTCTCCTGGCGACCGGCGGCTTCCAGCGTGAAAGGCGCTGCCTCGGCAGTCGGCAGTCGGCAGTGCGAGTGGGAGCCCGGCGTCCGTCGGTCCGTCGGGGTTCTCCGCAGGCTACCGGCTCTTCCGGAACGGGAAGCAGGTTGCCTCGCTGGCCTCTGCAGCACAGAGCCCACTTGGGATCCCCGCGTTGCGGCGCTGCCGCGCTCGGCCTGGAAATTGCTGCTCAGGTCCTGCAGTATACCGACGCTGGCCTGATGGCAGCCCACGAGTATACCTACGCCCTTGCAGCAGTGAGCACGCAAGGCACATCTGCTGGAGCTTAGCTGTCTCGTCCGAGCCCCACCGCGCTCAGGGGCTCTGGGCAGTGCGAGCCCAACCGCTTGTGCCACGACGGAGGCGGCAGGCACACTTAGGGAGTGAGCTTGGAAAATGGCCTGCATGTCGCAGCCTCTGTTTGAGGCCCTCCGGGAAAGGTGGGCTCTCTGCGGGTCGCAGCCGCCAGTGGCCGCGGTATCTCGCTGGAGTGGACCGCGCCAGAGGTGCGGGGATTTCAAAAGGGCGGCAGCGAATCGTCTCGAAGCCTTAAAGCAGCAGAGCAGGACACCGGTGGCGCCCCGGTGACAGCCTACCTCGTCCAGCGCTCCGACAAGGAGGCCCAATTCAAGGCCCAACTTCGCAGATTTGAGACGGGCAGTCTCAGGCACCGACAACGCTGCTGGCTTCACAGCTGGCTGGGGAGAAGCGCGAGAAGTTTGCCTGGACCGGGTGATGCCCTTTCGCAGGGTTTTCTGCTGATTGTTGTGACGTATTTGAACGATCTTGCATGCTGTCGCAGGACCGACAAGGACATAGTGCGCGGGAGCAGCTACGGCCACGCGGCCAATATCATCGCGCTACCTTCTCTCAGAAGACCCGTAACAGGAAAATGAAACGCAGAAAACTTTCCTAGCTGTAGCGGGAAGCAGCCCCAGGCCGTAACGGAAACTCCTCACCTCATTGTCGAAGTGCCAAAACCTAGGCAAATACGCAGGCTCCTCGGTCTCTGTTCAAGCAACCAGACGGTCCTGATTTCGGAGCAGCTATCTGAAGAGTGAATGGAGAGTTAAGAATTAGTCGACAATCTCTAAACTCTACACTTAAACATGATGTCAGACTAACCAAATCTCTTGTCACGAAAGCTCCCCGTGTGGGAGCTTCGTTCAATACCTCACGAAGTGAGCTTGGGGGGTGGCCCTTTTTCGTGGGTTTTTTCGGCTATCCCCCGTCTGGAGCTGGGAAAACCGTCGTTGCCAAGGGGGCCTGTTTTGGGCCAGATTTGGGTTTGTTTGGTAAGTGCATTTTGGAGATGTTCGCAGGAGAAGTGGGGCTCCTCTGATGCTGCTGATGCTGGCCTGGGTGTGCTGCCTGATGCTGCTGATGCTGGCCGTATCGTGTCATGTTGTGCGAGAAGACAGTGAGTGTCTGGAATTACTGCGCTGGGCATGCTGCAACATGTTTGTCCGTCTGTGTCTGTTTAGCAAAGAGTTGCGATGTTGGATCAGAACTGTAAACTGCTCTCGCAATTTGAATGTTGCTCTCTGCATCTTCCGGTCTCGGTCTCACTTTGGCTTCACTAAACGATGACTGCTAGCACCCGCCACTGCAATACATAGCTGCCGTCTCGACTGCTACTTGCTGCTGCAGTTTTGTGGGTGTGTGGGCGAGTGTGGGCATGGCTATCAGGGACAAGTTGGGTATTTCAAATTGCGAACGAGCGTTTATGGATTGAACAACAATGTGATGATGAGAGTACAAGCCCTCAGTAGTACTGGCAGCATCAGTGATCGGAAAGCTGAGACTTGACATTTGTGAGTGCCGTTATGTGCACTTGACGTATTGTGCTAGGCATGCTGCAACATGTCTGTTCGTCTATCTTTGGCAGAGGTGTCTGTCTGTCTCTGTTTAGCAAAGAGTTTCGATGTTGGTTCAGAACTGTACACTGCTCTCGCAAATGTTGCTCTCTGCATCTTCCGGTCTCGGTCTCACTTTGGCTTCACGAAACGATGACTGCAAGTACCCGCCACTGCAATACATAGCTGCCGTCTCGGCTGCTACTTGCTGCTGCAGTTTTGTGGGTGTGTGGGCGAGTGTGGGCGTGGCTTCAGGGACAAGTTGGGTATTTTAAATTGCGAACGAGCGTTTATGGATTGAACAACAATGTGATGATGAGAGTACAAGCCCTCAGTGGTAATGGTAGCATCAGTGATTGGAAAGCTGAGACTTGACATTTGTGAGTGCTGTTATAGTTATGTGCACTTGACGTATTGCGCTAGGCATGCTCCAACATGTCTGTTCGTCTATGTTTAGCAGAGGTGTCTGTCTGTCTCTGTTTAGCAAAGAGTTGCGATGTTGGGTCGGAACTGTAAACTGCTCTCGCAAATGTTGCTCTCCGCATCTTCCGGTCTCACTTTGGCTTCACTAAACGATGACTGCAAGTACCCGCCACTGCAATACACAGCTGCCGTCTCGGCGCTACTTGCTGGTGTAGTTTTGTGGGTGTGTGGGCGAGTGTGGGCGTGGCTGTCAGGGACAACTTGGTCCTCTGTCTGTCTCTGTTGAGCAAAGAGTTGCTATGTTGGATCAAAACTGCTCCCGCAAGTGTTGCTCTTTGCATCTTGTTGTCTGACATTGGCTTCACCAAACGACGACTGCAAGCACATGTCACTGCAATAGATAGCTGTCGTCTCAGCTGCTGCTTGCTGCTGCAGATTCCTTGTGAGGGGGCGTTTGAGCGAGTGTGGCGCGGCTAGCAGGGACAATTTGGTGTTTGAATCGCGGAAATGAGTAAGATCGAGCGTTTATGGATCGAACAACAAGGCGGTGGTGATAGTACAAACCCTCTTTGCCTCGCCTGCTTGTCTATCTGGTCATGTTGCTTCCGTGTCACCAGCCCTGCTCATGTTAGAGCTTTCGTCCCAGCCCGTGGCTCTCAAGTACACAAAGACGTGTTTCCACGGTACATCAGTTTTGTAGTACCACCACAACACCAGTGCCTTGGGTTGCCAAAATGCCATGCCCAAAAGCTCCGAAGCATGAATTGCCATCACCTCGACAGGGTTCAATCTTTCCAACATCCTGGCATCTATGCGGCCAACGTTTTCGGATTTGCGGAATGCGGGATAGTCTTGATCCCCGCTGCGTCTTGACCAAACGATTTGGATATCTGATCCCTGCCGATGTTCTCACGTCCAAACGTCGCCAGGCTCAGTTGTGCCAAACATTGCCCAAACCAGTGCGGAAACCTCGTCAGAGCCTCCGAGCGAAACTTGAGATTTGGCCGGCAAGCGGCAAAGAAGCTAGTCACAGCTGGTGGATGTGTACTCGCAGATGCGAGTTTGAGCTCTGATTTCGCGGTGCGGCACCAAAACACGGCAATGCTCTAAGAGTTCTAGAAGTACGAAACCTGAGACTCTGCTCAAAAGCTCCACAAGCTGAGCAAGCGCGCCTGCATCACATGAGAGTCTCCTCAACTCCATGTGGGGGTATCGTGTGGGCTCGACTCGTATAAAGAAGGAGAGCGGCGGTCTGTGTCGACTCCCATTAAAATGACAAAAAATGTCGGTGCGGCGCGGCGCGGTTTGCCGAAAAGCGCGGCGCGGCCCGCTTCTCTGAGAGGTTACACGGTTTCGGCTGCCCATCTGCCGCCGCTTGCAGAGAAGGAGCGGAGCTAAGAGCAGAGGGGCTGCAGCGAGTGCAGCGGCGCCCCGGCCCCGGCCAGGAGCTGCGGGAGGCCGTGCTCTTGGAGCGGCAGGAGCGGCCGGCGGAGCGGAGCGCGGCGGAGCCGAGCGGCTCGAAGGCGCGCCACTTTGTCTCCGCCTGCGGCACCCCGCGCAGGCCAGCATTCCACCGGAGGAAGACCATTTCCCAGAAGTGGCAGAGGCTCCTTGGAAGCATCGATATTCTGAGCATGTGGCATGCTGGACTTTGGCGCTGGCCCCAGGAGTTCAATGTGGGTGCAGCAACGGGGCCAGTGGAGACTACGGCTGTGGATGCGCTGGAGGCGCGTGGTCGAGAATCGATTTCGGCTCAAGTGCTCGGCTCTGCCTCTACGACATGGGAAGCTGTGACTGTGACTTTCCTCGGTTTGGGGGACGGGTAGAGGCAAAGCTTGGAAGTGCTTGAGGCGAAGCGCCCCCCAGGCCCGTCGCGCGCAAGGTCAATATTGGTCGAACATGACGGTCACCTGGAGATTCGTCTCGATCTTCTCATGCTGAGAGGAAAGCATTTCTCTCTCCAGCATGTTAGACCGTTGAGGTCAGAAAAAAGGGAAGAAGACACGTGAGATCACGTGAGCAAGGGAGCAACAAGAGGAGGGGAGAGTGCAGAAGCAAAAAGAAGTATGGAGAAGTGTGGAGAAGTGGAGAGCGCGACCTGGAGGTGGGACCTTGCCACGAGAGCTTGCGAGAGCATCTGGCAGAGGCCGATTCGGCTTTCGCCTCTGCCGTTCTGGCTTCGCTGCCTCTGAGGTGCAGGGCAAGAAGATGGGCGTCACCGTCTTTTACAAGTCCTGCTGGGGCCGTACCTATGCACACTGCTGTGCTCAGGAGGTGGCACCGTGACAAAGAAAAATTTTTCTTTGGCGTAGTGACGAACCGCTGGCCGCTGGAGGACCGCTGGAGCGAGTTGCCCGGCGTGGCCTTGGAAGCGAGCCCATGCCACGCCTTCAGCCAGGCCGAGGCCAGCTGAGCGCAGCTGCGTGCAGCTCTGCTCCTCTGCTCCTCTGCGTCCCGCTTCGTCCGCTTTCAGGACTGGCTGGTGCTGTGCCTCCCGTACGCGCGCAGCCTGGAGCTCGTGATGAACGATGGCGGACGTGGCTGGGACAAGGCACCCGGGAGACAGGGAGACAATAGACACGTCTCAGTGTGAGTCTGGGTCTGTTTGAGGCTCCCGGCGGCAAGAACTACAAGGTGATGACGCCCGGCGTCTTCGTGTTGACCCACGGGCACCTGGACCCCGTGGCCTTGCCGCCCCAGAAGCCACAGAACCTCACCGCAGAGGCGCCGAGAGCGAGACGCGAGACGCCACACTTAAAAGCAGAAGATGCGTCGTCGCTGACACTCCTCCTCCTCCGCCGGCCGCCGGCCGCCGGCCGCCGGCCGCCGGATCGGATCGGATCGAATTCCCTGCAGGCGGTGGACGGCTCGCGGGTGCAGCTGCTCTGGGAGCCCGGGAGCCGAGCAGCGATCCGACGGAAACGGCTCAAGCCAAGCCTTAGCAGCCTCCGTCGCCTCCCCGTCGCCTAGCCTCCGACGTGCCCAGCTGAGGCCGCCGGCGCTGGCGGACGGGGAAGCGCCGGTGAAGAGCCGCGGGCCCCGGCGGGGGCGGCTCGGCTGCCTCTGGCTGTGGCGCGCTGTCTCTCCTTGCCGAGGCTACCGCATCTTCCGCAACGGTCGCCTCATCGGCCAGACCGAGACCACGCCCCTCGCTCTTTTTCCCTTTCACTCGAGGGCTCGAAGTGAGAGTCGTAAGAGCTTGAGTTTGAGCTTGAGGCTGCTCTTCATGCGAGCCTTTTCCTCTGTGCTTTGCGCTGAGGTCCTGCTATTTCCTCGACATCAACCTCTTTGCATTCACCGACTACGAGTACTCTGTCGCTGTTCCTGACCTACAAGACAACAAGACAACTGAAGGAATCGACCTCTGTTGGGAGAGCAGAAGAGGAGCAGAAAAGGGGCAGTGCGTATTTCGAACGGAGCGTGCCGCGGCCAAGGCTGTCAACGGCCAGGACGTCGCTGGGTGGAGGGCTCAGTTACTGAAGCGGACAACCGGACAGAGACTCCAATTCTGAAGGGTCTCTCCTCTCCCCGTCGCTCTGTCTACATTCTATCGACATTGAGTTTATGCCACATGGCGAGCTGGCAGATGGGTGGCAGTTTTCGTGCTGTTGGAGTTTGATCCTTGTTGGAAGCGTGCAGCTGCAAGGCCACTGAGCGATGCGGCTAGCGTGAAGACCAAGCTGCCGGGGCTGCCCACCGCACCCAGGAGCAGAAGAGAGAGCATAGACAGCAGAGGAGAGAGCGCCGCCAAGTGGAGCCGCAGGAACCTGCGCGCCAACACCCGGAAGGAGCACGGGAACCTCGTGGTGCGCCGCGCCGCAATCGCGCGGCTTTCCGATGCTTGCGCGCGCACACCGTCTGCGGTCGGGCTCTCGTCTCTTGTCGGGAGGTCTCCTTGGAGTGGGAGCCGCCCGCGGACTGTGGAGGGGCACCCGTGGCCTCTTACGAGGCAGGTGGGGGCGGGGGAAGCAGCTTGGGCCCCGCGTGTCTGCGCTTGGCAGATCCTTCGAGACGGGAGCGTCATCGACATCTACGAGGCGAGCGGACATCAGCACAGCGGAGTCTCTCGAGCTTCCGCTCCCTTCTTCGCTCTCTTCCGCTCTCGCTCCGCCTCCGCGCAGCGCCGCGCAGTGCGCCGCGCTGCTGTCTGAGCTCTCTACCAGGTGCCGAATGCCCGCATCCGCAGCGAGGCGGAAGCCGCGAAGCCGCTGGACCCGGAGGCGCGGCCCGGCGGCCCGCGGCCCGGCCCGGGCCACAAGCTGGGACTTCTCTGAAGTTCTTGGACACGTATCGTCGTATCGTATCGTGATGTAACACAGGACAGCCTCTGTGTGTTGACTGATCATGTATTTCGATGCAACCTGCGGTGTTGAGCATCTCATGCAAGCTCAGCTTCGGTCCTATCAAGAAGTGTGTTCCATGAAGATTCAGTACGGATGTTCTGAAGCAATACACGTCCCTACAAAGTTTTGACGTGGATTGTGAACTGATCACGACGGATGCTAGAACAGGGCCAATAGCGACGGCCGCAGAAGAGCTGTGGCAGAAGCAGCACAGAGCACAGTGGAAAGCCCCCAAGAAGAGCCAAGAGCAGCCGGGAGCGGAGCTCGCGACGTTCAGCGATTAAGCCGACTGCCACAAGTACGGAGACACTCATGCACCCACAGTTTGGTTATCTCAGTTATCTCCTTGGCCTGTCGTTGGAAAGCTGCAGGCCGCTGCCGCACGACGCTGGGTGCGCTGGGGCCCTGCTTGACAGCCCTGCCGGCGACGGGGGGGAGAAAACCCCGGGCTTGAAACGGTCAGCTGCCGGGGCAGTCTCTTTCCGCTCAGGCTCGACGTGCTCCTACTCCAACCTGAGCTGGTTCAAGGATCGCTTCAGGGTTTGGGAAGGGCGGCGCACCCCGGCTACCCGGCGGCTACCCTTGTCCTAGAGTGAGAACCGCAGACAGCACCGTTAAGGAAATGCAGGAATGAGTGCACACTTGGCCTTCTCGAGACTGGCAGTCGGGCAGTATCGGTCCTAGCAGTCCTAGCAGTTCGTCCTACCAGATGTAACTAGCCGCTGGCCATGTCAACACGGCGCAAGCCAAGAGCTACGGCAGCTACGGGGTATTGCAGTGTGTCAGTGCAGCATGGCGTGTTATCAGCATTTCCCGACGATCTGGAGAAACGACATGCGACCACGGGGGGCAGCAGGGAGTCTACAGTTCTGTTACCGACGAAGGCAGCTGTGGACTCCGTGCAATAGATTGGGACGCCAGTCTGTGTACCTGCAAGTTCTGCTGTGACATCTGCAAACTCTTTACCCATGTACATGGTGCATACTCGCCGTTGCTGCTAGGTTTAGTTCCATCTACGGCCAGAACCCAGCCAAGGTCGTCGACATCATTCCCGACGACATCCGGCAATAAGTAAGAACACTCCAGTGTGCAGACTTCTGCCAAGCGGTGCACCGTCTCGATCCCTTCGGGGCAATGGAGGAAATAGGCGAGGTTATCCTCTCGGTCAGCATTCTCGTTTGTTTCTGTTCTTGCTTGCTCCTCTCTTTTTCTTTGCTTTCATATCTTTTCTTACAGCCTTACAGGGGCAAGATTGTCCTTTGGGTTAGGCCTTCGGGCCGACAGTCTAGTTTTTGGGTCTCGCGCCTTCCTGCACAGAGACCTGCATGAGCATGCATTTTGGTGCCTGGGTGTCTGTGTGTGTGTCATCCCTGCAACAAAGGGCTACGTAACAATGGCCAAGTATCACTCATGTCTGAAGCTGTGTTTACTTGAGAATGTTGCCACATGCATGCTTGCAGATTATATTGTAAATGTTAGATGAGCCTTGCGACCATTAGCCATTAGCCTGGACAATGGCATCAGCAGATCAGTTAATCTAGACATAGGTTACAAAAGACAAGGAGAAGATGAGAAGGAGAAAGAGCCACATTCCCGATTCACATTTAGACCAAGAGGTCTCCAGCAAGTGTGTGTGTGTGTGTGTGTGTGTGTGTGTGCGTGTTTCTCGATACCCGGGGGTTTGACTTGAGGCAAGTTTGCGCTATGTTGCTGCTTGAGCATTGGTGTAGGGTCAGCCAGGTCTTGAGTGTGTGTCTCGAGACATTTCGGGTTCGGTGGCTTGGTATGTGCCTCGGTGCCTATTGGGTTTGAGGCAACATGGTGACAGGATGCGTGTGGATGTACAACAAAGAAGTACAATTGAGAGCAGATCAGACAGGAGCGCCCAGGTATCGAGCACTAACGAAAGGGGCAAACAGATCGAGAGCAGGAAGACCGGAGGCTGGGAGGCCGAGAACAGTGAAGTGCAGAAGGGAGGCACCAACAACAACGACGCTAGTGCCTAGCCCGACAACTCCGGATGGCTGGAACACACGATCCCACTTTGTAGACGGTGTTTCAAGCCCGAAATGGAGTTGTTTTCTTCAGTTTACTTGCGCGTGAACTTGAAGCCTTGATCCGACCCCAAAGATCTTCAGGAGACTCAACTTGAAACTAGCCCACAGGCCCGTTTTGAGCCCAAGAGAAACCTTGATTTGGTCCACGGGATTTCACTCCAGAATTTCCCAGCCGCACAACGTTTCTGTGGGTTTGCTGATTGATAACTCGCAATTGCTCACTCTTGCTTCATTTACATGGTTGTCCGTGGTCATTGCAGCACCTGGCCTCAGCTGCCTTGCTGGAGCCAATTTTTCATGACAGGTTTCCAGATCTCGGTTGGATGCTGTATTCGGAAGGGGGGGCTGCGGCTCCTACCTGCGACTTCTTATACTCAAAAAAGCAGAAAACACAAGATGCGCGAAAGTATCACAACAAGAGGACGAGCGTGGCCATACCTCGTGCAGAGATGCGGGGCGCTGCGGTTGTCGGCTGCGACTCCCACACTAACCACAAGCAGTCACAAGCAACATGCGGGCTGCTGACAGGTCGTTTTTTCTGAAACGTCACAGGTTGTCGGAGTCCAAACATGTTGCGCATGATTTGTCACATGTTTTCAGTTGTTGCCCGTTGCTTTCAAGCTTGTTTGGTTGTCGACTCCTTGCGTCCCTTTCCTACAAGATTTGCTTTCCGACACTTTTCTGCCCTCTCCATCTCATCGTGTTTGGTTTGTCGTTGCTTGTTGATTACGTTTAGTGGAGATGACGTCCTTTTCCTGCAAGTTCCTTCATTTCACCGTCTCGACTCTTTGCTTGCACTTCCACTTCACCGTTACAGCTTTTGCGCATGGTTGTTTGAAAAGCTTGTTCTGATGTGACGTGAAGGCAAAAAACGGCGAGCGATTGACTCCGTTCGTTCTTTTCCTCCATGTTGTTTTCGCCGATGCAGACCCGTTCGTTGAAGCCGAACTGCAAATGATTGCAAGTGTGTACAAGGGATTACTGATACATGATTGCAAGTGATTGCGATCGACCACCCCGTGATTGGGGCAACTGTGCCCATCCCGAAATACCCCAAAGAGCTGTTGCTTCGTGGAAAGAGAAAGGCAGTGCAGGAACGAAATGTCGAGTGCTAGTTGAGATAAAGCATGAAGGGATGTAAGTAGCTTGTTACCCAATGTTACGGCTCCGGGTCGTTCCATACGTGTGTCTTGCGCATGTGTGCGGAGCGCCCGTTGTGGCGTATACGGAAGGGGTGTGAGTTCTCGCGGCCCGGAGCGGCGGCCCGCGGCGGCTCCCGGGCGCGCGCAGGATGGAATGGCCTGGACGGACACCGGCGTGCAGCTTGGCGAGTGCTACTCCTACCAGGCTCGGGCCGTCGGGCCGCCGGGCTGCCGCCCGTTCGGAAGGGGCTTCCGACAGGGCCGTAGTCGTAGAGTCGCAGGTTCAGGGTTGGGTGTTCTTTGTTTGGTTCACGGTTTGATTGTCCGCACGGTTGGGGCAGGCGGCCTTGGAGTTTGCAGGGGGGCTTGCTTAGTTTGCACCCTTCTGTGTTTCCCGCAGTCTGCGCAGCCTCGTCCCCAAGCCTCTTGACAGGCTCAGACTTGCAAAGCTCTGAAGTTGTTTTTTTTGGTTCGGTCCCATTCCTCTTTTCGAGTTTATCGGGCTCTTAAGCCATCATTCTCTCGATCCGTCGTTGACTCGCTTTGTGCTTGGCAGGTGCGGGCAGTGCAGCTGGGCCCAGAGCGTGCCACACAACTCAAGGAGGGCGGTGTGGTCCAGCCCCAGCCTCAACACAGCGCCGATGACAGGGAGCATGCATGCACGAGGGGGCACACCTTGCGCAAAATTGAAAGACTCTGATCCGATCTGGCTGAGGCGCTGTGGCTCGCAGTTCCTGGACAAGATGCTTTGCTTCTCGTAGTATTTTGATCTGTCAAGCCAAATGCCTTTGCCAAATTCAAAGCCAAGAGGCAGCTTGCTCTGTTCTGGAGTGACGAGCCTTGCAGGACAACGTTCTCCCGGACGTGATTGGCCCTGCAAGTGAACCGGCGCAGGCAGGTTTCAAGCGGTTGAAGAGTCACGTCGTGAACTTGCGTGCGATATCCGAGGTTCGTGCAACGGCCTTCCTGGACCCACCGAAGCTGGGGGAGCAGAGGTGCAGCAGGGAAGCTTCGGCAGTGGGGGCCATTCCGTCCCGGGCAGGTGCATCATCATGTTCCAGGCCTTCGATTGGGGAAGCCACAAGGTGTGGGCCGTCGGAGCACCCAAGAAGAGAAGGCTCTTTGCAGACTGCCTCGGAAGGCTCCGTCGTGGTACAAGGTGCTGCTCGGCCTGCTGCCAGAGCTGCGCAGTGCAGGCTCGGAGCCAAGCCAGCTCTGCTCAAAGTAAAAGGAGCGTCTCCAAACGGCGGAACGGAGCAGCTGTGTTTTCCTTGCTTCTTTTACTTTAGAGGGAGCACTGACTGCTCTCTGGACCGGCCACTGCTTTCTGTTTTCAGGTATCAACATGTGCTGGCCCGGGCTCCAAGAGGGGTTCGGTAGTGTGTGTCCAGCTCGCGCTCACAGAAGTTGTCCTCGCTCTCTCTCTCTCTCTCTCTCTCTCTCTCTCTCTCTCTCTTTCTTTCCACCCATGTCTCCTTTCTATGCTTTCCTTTTTTTATCAGTCTTTTTTCCTTTCTCTCCTATCTCTCCTGTCTCTACTTTCTCTCCTTTCTCTCTTGTCTCTCTGTCGCTCCGTCTTTCCGGTCTTTCCGGTCTTTCCGGTCTTTCCGGTCTTTCCGGTCTTTCCGGTCTCTCCGTCTCTCCGTCTCTCCGTCTCTCCGTCTCTCCGTCTCTCCGTCGCTCCGTCTCTCCGTCGCTCCGTCGCTCCTTCGCTCCGTCGCTCCGTCTCTCCGTCTCTCTGTCTCTCTGTCTCTGTCTGTCTCTCTCTCTCTCTCTGTCCCTCCCTCCCTCTGTTAAATGACAGGAGCCTAATGACCATGATGCATTTCTCAACTACGATGCCTAATGGCATTGGCTCAAGACTGGACAGATCGGCTGAGTGTGACTGTGGGGAAAGTGATTGATCTTGGTTGCTCGGGTAAGTGTAGATTGCACTGTTGAACGTTGCAGGGTAGAGGAGCTTCGGGCAGAATCAGTCCCGACAGAATGGATTTCAGAACCAGGGGGATTGGGGGAGAGATCAAATTGGAGAAATGGGAAGACTGGTCGTGGCAGCTGAAGCGATATATGGGATTGCGCAAGCCACTTGCCACACTGCTAATGGACGATGTTGAAGGATCCGGCAGAACGATCACTGACGACCTGTGCGAGGCTTTCTGTTCAGTAGAACCGCACCCAGAATGATCAGCTTTCACTGTTTGTTAGACAACTGGCCTCAGCTTGTATAGGAGGTCCCGCCAATACAACTTGTGAGAGGGAGGGACGCCTGCCTTCTAGGTTCTTCAGCTTTTTGCGTGCAGAGTGCTCCGTGCCCGAAGTTTCTCTACTGGCTTACTTGTTGCCGCAGATCACTGGTGGTGCCGCACGAGCAATTGTTCGCAATGAGGACAGAGAGGATGGATTCGAGATTTAACGCAGACTGCACAATCAGTTTTCACTGCCGGCGAGAGCTAGGTCGACGAACCTGCTGAATAAGATCATTGCATTTCGCCTGAGGAATGACCACCTTGAGAGCGACTTGAGTGAATTCATCAATATTGAAAAATGAGCATGAGAAGACGACTGGCAGGCCACTGGATGATGACCTTTTGGTGATGTTGCAGAAGACTGTTGGTCCTTTGCAGCAGCGCCTGAGGTTGAATGTCAGGAGCATCAACACGTTCAATGAAGCACAGGAATTTATGCAGTTACATCAAGAGCAGACACCTGACTGTGACGAGTGGTAGGACTGCCTACCAAGGCCAAGCCGACGTGGATGTAGGAGCACTGAAAGGAAGAAAGGACGAGGGAAAGGCGAAGGATACACAGCAGGTAAACGAATGTACCAAAGGAAAGGAAAAGGATACAAAGGCAAAGGAATGTACAAAAGGAAAGAGCAAAGGATACAAAGGAAAAGGAAACGGACAAGGATGTTTTCTTTGTGGTGACCATGGCCACTTCAGCAAGGAATGCTTTAAAGGATATCGAAAGATGTCAGCGGTGATTGAAGATGATCAAGGAAATGAATGGGGTGATCCAACGAACAAGTTCGTCATCAGTCATCAGTCCGGGCTTTGCTCCGAACAGTCTTTGCAACTCTGGGTGCACTCTGATCCGACGCTTCGACAGTCACAGCTGAAACGTTCGGTGGTGGTTCATTCGAACCTGAGCTCGCGGCACCATTCGAGCTCTGTTGCTGCGCCGCAGTTGGACTCCACCAGTCCTGAGCGTTCCAGGACCAGTCTTCAGGCCAAGAACTCCAGTCGTCTTCGTCAACAATCCAGTCACCTGCGTCCCAAAACCAGTCATCCTGAGACCAGTCATCTGGACGTGCATGCTTGTTGATTGGTGCACTGAGTTCCGGAGTGCCACCAATGCCAACTCCGAGTGTGCCCGACACAACGCAAATGCCCGAAAATGATCCGAATGGGTTCAACGACGGCTTTGTTGAGTTTCACATGCAGGCCGGACTGGTTGACAAGACCTGGATACTGTTCGACAATAGAGCTTGCGCGAGTTGTTGTCCTGAATGGTTTGCGCCGGGTTATCCGGTGTTGCCTTTGAATGAAAGTGCACCCTCACTGCGGAGCTTGTCTGGAAAGGCCCCAGTGCAAGGTCGGAACATTGATCGGCTTGACTGTGGCAATGGTCATTCGTTGAGTGTTCAGTTCTATGTGTGATTGCAAAAGACTATCTTGCCCTGAGTGACCCGACTGGCAATCCTGTGCCGATTGTGCGACAAGGCACACTGGCGTACTTGACACCGCTGTTATTCCATATGCCGTGGCAAATGCGGCAGGACTGGCAGCGATGTGCCTACCAGAGGTAATGTCGGGAATGGAGCAAGAGCTTGGTGCCTTGCAGTTGCGTGGAGTGTCGGAGTGCATGACTGTTCGATTGGCCACCCTGTCAGATTGGAGCCTTGTTTGCAGCAGCTCAAGGAGTGAAGCCTTCAGATGGTTCCTGTTCGGACACCTGGGAATTGTATGAGACTGAACTGAAGTGTTTGAGCGTGTGGAGGAAAGAAATGTTGGACCCTCGGATTAAACTGGCAAGCAAAATGCCGGTACAAGTGTCACGTCTGACTGGCGAATGGGTGATGCACGAAAGATACCGGGTTCGACTGTCATTGTCAGAGATGCAAATTTCCTGACACTGACGAATACCAGGCTGCATGATGAAAAGGACTGGCGAGTGGAGTTTCGACTTGACGCACGCCGCCAGCGGCGACATGTGCAGAAGAGTGAACCACGTGCAGAAGAGCCTCGTCCATATGATCCGCAGATTGGCAAGCCGCCACCTCAGCAAATGCTGAAACTGCGGGAAAGGAGCATGATGAGTCTGCGCCCAAAAGCACAGCCAGGAATGATGTTGATCCCGAAGAATTCGGTCGTCAGGTGAGAGTGAGTCGCGATGTTGAAGAACATGAGCTTGAGAACGCACTGCGTGCACTGCCGATGCACAATGAGAAAATGAAGGAGTTGTTGTTGCAACTGTTCAATCTCGAGGATCCTGAGACTGCAGCTCCGAGGACTGCAGATCGTTGGATTATCCTCCTGCTTCACCACGCATGGTGCGACTGCCATGTCCATCCTGACGATGTTGATTCTCCTGTTCAAGGATTGTTGAGCGACGGCTTGTGGGGTGATAGGTACACAATGATCGTTGATTTGAGTGACCCAGCAATGTTGGATACTGGCCACCAGGATGCATGGGCAGAAATCGAAATGCCCGATGGATTTGTAAAGAAGTGTGAGGACCCCAGAAGTCCCACTGGTCACAAGTGGGCTGGATATACATTGTCTGCGCCGCTTGATCGCCCTACTGCTCAAAAGAATGCTCAGCAGGAGACTGAGGACTGAAGTGCATTGAAGCCGAAATTGCAGGAGGTTCCTAGAGAACCTCAGAAAGTGAGAGACGACTGCGCGAACGGACTCATCTCCCTTGAAAAGGATTGGTGTGAACGCAGCGTGAAGTCGAAAGGAAAGCAAAGTCATGCAGTGAAGAAGGATCGCCAACCAATGATCCAGATTGACTTCTCAAAGGCTGTTGAACTGCCGTCGAAAGGAAGTGTTGAAAAGTACGAAGTTGCCGAATTGGAGAAGTTTGTTCTTGGGATTGGAAGGACTTCCGGAGTCTGTTCAGTATGACAGGGAGCGCCGCTGAAGACAACGGCGCATAACCTGTGCAATACGATCGGTGGAATGTCAATGCACGCAGCACCTACTGAACACTCTCAGAGTCAAGGAAGTGTTGGGAATGCACCGCGCCAACGAACGGTGTGCGGGCAGCTGAGAACACTATTTGCTCAATTGGAAGAGTCGACTCTGAGTCGACTGGTTTGAAGCTGGGTTCGGAGTCGCCAATGTTGACATGGGCAGTTAAACAGGGACAATGGCTGATCAACCGCTCTATTATACGCTTTATGATTCGGACTCGCTGACGGCAAGACTGCCTACAATCGCAGATGGAAACGCGATTATGGCGGAGCACTGTGCATGTTTAACGAACTGAATGATGCGAAAGTACCTGTGAGTGGAAAAGTGCGTGTTTCCAAACCCGGATCGCAATGGTTCACCGGCGTGTACCTTGAAAAGGACACTGAGGCTGACATGATCCTTCAGAATGCAAGTGGTGTCTTCAAGCCCACGAACAACCACTCTGCACCTCAATATTTTCTCATCCTTCAAGGGCCTCATCAATATGCTTCTGGGTGCAGTCTTCAATTTTCACTTCATCATACATTTCAAACTTCATCATTGAGTTCATCTCTTTCATCATTCCTTTGTTTTCAGCCCCAGGCGGAAACTCAATCCCAGAGCAGGTTTCCAGAATGTTGAGAAGAGTCAAGAGGACAACCTGTTTGCGTCGACACTTTCGCTTGTCACTATGCGACTGCTGCTGTGCGTGGCACAATGGCACGAAGCTGGGGCATCACACTGGGTGATGTCAGCGCTGCCTTCTTGCGCGCGTTGATGACTGAGGAAGTTTTATCCAGATGGGAAAATCCTCTGGCGATTGAAGAAGGCAATGTATGGCCTTCGGCAGGCGCCACGACTGTGGCAAGAACACTTTACCGAAACAATGACACTCGACAGAACACCAAGTTGGGTCCTCAGTCGCGGCTGCAACACTTCAGTTGCAACATATTTGGGCAAGATGGCATGGCCTCTGTCTTAGCCATCCTCAGTAGGCCCATTTGCACGCAGGGTCTGGACATACAGGAACCTCAATTCCACATGTTTGGTTTTTCGTCCTAGGACTGGCCCAGGACCAAAGCTGGTCGCCATTGATTTGCCGGCCGTGCTGTAAGTGTGAGCGATCACATTGACCCTTTTCGCCAACTTTGATTCCAACGGCATTGACCGAACAAACACTGCTCCTTGACCAATCGCACACAGTTCCGCCTTGCTGCAAGACAGCGCCAGTGTCCCCTGTGTCCGGGCAGTGCTAACCACATTGCATCCCAGGAAATTTTATAGTGGATCCGCTGGTACTTCTGCGCGCGTGGACACTCTGCATTGTTGGGGCAGTTGCATCCCGATCCAGCTCTTTCGTCGTATATGCAATGTCACATCTCACCAGCGCCAGTCAAAGCCACTTCCCACATCAGTCCTGCACTCTTCAGGACTCAGTGACGTGTCTGGAACATTCTTGGTGATCGTGACAGTTGCCACACAGGCTTGGCATCCTTCATTCCACACAAATCAAGAATCGTATCTTTCTTGCTTCATCGGGCTTACGACCTACGACCAACACATCATCGAAATATGCAAGCGCACACAGTCGACCTGATTCATGACAGTACAAATTCGGATCACTCTTACATCTCCGGTATCCCAGTTTCGTCCTTTGGTTTTGGGATGTTCGGGCAACACAGAAATATTGCACATGCAGTTCTGACAAGACAGCTGCATTCACTTTACACTGACTAGACAAGACAGCAGTGTGACATGTCACGCAATCACTCAAGAACATTCGCTGCGGCTCACCTACACAGTCCAACGGCATCCAGAGACTCAGCGTGCGCAGTGGGGGAAGAGAGATAAGCGCGAATGAGAGTTGAGTTTTCTCCGATTGTCGAAACGACTTCTCCGATCTAGTGTGGAATGCCGATTCGGCCCCAAAGGGACTGTGCCGGAAGTTTAACCGTTCTGCCGAATTCCGAATGGAATTTCGCCGATTGTTTTGGCCGATTTCGCCCGAATGAAACAGCTTTCGCCGAAGACCGAGTGCTTTGCTGAGTGATTGCAAGTGATCTGCGTGTACAGAGTGCAATGCTGCCTTACTTGTCGATTGTGTTGCCGACTGAGGTCAGTGGGTTTCCTCCGAAATGTTTTCTCTGAGTGTTCCTGAGTGGTGATCGACTACTGGTAGTGTAGACTGTGACCTTCCCCGACTGTTGCAATGGCCCTGAAGACTGCAAACCCGAAGAGTGCAGCAATGGTTCGTGTGCCAAGGGAACCACAATCACTGGCGAGCAGTTGGGCGTTCCCCCGGCTGCATCCGGCTCAAGGATCCGGAGCCACGGCCTCGCGAAAGCGCAAGCCCTCCTGAGTCACTTGACCGTTCTCGCTTGCTTGGTTTTCCGGAAAAAGGAGCTAAGGTTGATGTCTCCAATTTTTTTGGCTCTAAGGCCCAGCAAGTCTGAATTCAAGCGTGGCTTGCGTGCACATGCTGATCTTCCCATGCTAGCTCGGCTCAAGGCATTATCTAGCTATGCCGCTGGTAATCGAACAACTTATGTCCTGAAGCTGGATGGTGCCAGCTGGACTTACGAATGATATAGAAGAAAAGGACAATGGTCCGTTTGTGTTTTTTCGTCCATGGAGCAAGGGGCTTGTGTAAGCTGCTGGCGAAGCAGCATGATGTGAAGCTGCCGAAGAATCCAACAAGGCCTGCCTCAGATGTTTATCAATCGCTCTTGGATTGCCGAAACGATGCTTCCAAGGAGCAGCATTCCAAGCGGCAGACAGAGAAAGTGGTGAAGGGAGCTCTGGCAGACATTGCAAGCAACGAAACTCGCTTGAGACGGGGAGGCCTGAGCAGAGAAGAGTTTCCTCAAGGTTGCCGGGAAAGAAGTCCACTTGGATGCATGGCACTGTTCTTAAGAACAAGTGCGAGTCTTTCCGAGCGCAGGGCTCGGCAAAGCTTCCAAGGGAACCCTCGGCAGGCTCAACTCATCAGCGACGAGAGAAGGTACTCGCTTGTGCAAAAACCGGGGCCAAGGCCCAGCCCAAGGAGGTGCTGCGTGATGCTGAAGCGACTCCCGCTGCCAAAAGGGCAGCCAGAAGCCAGGGGCAGGCCTCCATGCCGCGGAGGAAGCCTAGGGTTCACCAGTCTGCTTCAGGAAAACCCATGCGAAGCCTTGTTGCCATGTTGCAGTCATAGTATGCAGTTGCTTGACTTGTAGGCGTGCATGTCTGGCTCCCTTTGTAAGGAGCCCTGGATGGGTGCTGGCCTTTTTTTACGAGGCCAGGCAGGATCTCCGGAGGGTCTCTTTCAAAGGATATATATATATGTGTATATATACACATGCACATATATACATCTCGGGAGATGACAGTTTCCTGGGCAAACCCGAGAGACTACGGTTTCCTTGAGAAAGCAGCATGGTGGACCACGGTTTGCTATCTGTCTGTGAGAGGAGACCACGGTTTCCTGTAGAGCTGGACAGAAGACGGTTTGCTTAGTCAGAAATGCATGCGCGGCCTGCTTTTCGCCAACCGTGCTGGCCGGCAGAATGCAGGCAGACCAAGGTTTGTTTGCATCTGCTGGCAACCAAAGCAAACCGACCATGTTTGCAGAGGAGACCACGGCTTCCTCATGGTGCATGCCACGTGTGGACCTACAAATCCTCTTTAGGACCCTCTGCGTGTCCCGGCAGTTCTAATGCCTCCATCAGCAATTCCAAGGCATGTCTCCGCAGCCCGGCCAGTAGGAACCGCAGGAACCCATCGAGCCACACTTCCCATTCTGGAAACGATCTCGCACTTCAGTCCGCAAAGGAGAATGCCACCGACTGTCTGGTGAATGTCTGTTTGAGCCTGGCGAATGGACTGTGCACCAATGGAAAGTTGGACTTGGGCCGTTTTCCGTGCCACCAGTTGATCGTTCAACGCACTGAGTGCGCTGCGCAAGACTGTGCAATGGGCGAACCAAGAAGTCTTCGAACCGAATGAGAATGTCGTGTTCCGCAGAGCGAAGGCTGCGGCAATCCGGATGGACTGCTGGTGGATCTGGCAAACGGGCGAATCACTATAATCGCCAGTTCACTGACCACGTCAACACCCTCAAATGGGACGGATGTGGCCCGAATGACTGGCGCTGGACAATGGAGCCACTGTGACTAAGCAGTGCCGCCATCATTCGAATGCCAATGAATGATCCAATGTGCTGCCGCAGCCGCCAAAATGTTGCTGACCCTGAATGAGATCACCGAGTGGGGAATGTTGGCAACCAATCGTGGACAGACGCTCGTTGCGTGGAGACTGATGGGGCACACAATGGTCCCGCTCAACCAGGCCGTCGGAGGTGGACTAGAGCATGACTCTTCCGCACGGCGCGGAGATTGTCCTGCGGAAGAATGCCAAGGGCAACTGACAAGTGATCGAACTTAGCCCGGCGACGAATTCAGGAGTGCTCTGCGACTGCAACTGTTTTGCACGGTTGAGTTTATGTTGAACTGTTGAATGGCTTTCTTCTTTTAGAAGAATGAAAATCTCGGACTCAAGGTGAATGAAGCATGAGCCGACTGTTTGCGAGCTTGCAATGTACAGCGCAAGCTGGCCTCCGACTGTTTCTCACAAGGACTCGAATGTCATCCCGAGTCGAGATAACATGTCCGGAATGAGGCCAATGATCCTTCACAGATTTGATTCATTTTGTTTCGAATGTTTCTTGTTCGCTTCGCGAATGCCACCACCTGTGCTCGTTAAATGTTTGAGTGATTCTCGACTGAAGTCAGGATCAAGACACTGTGTTAAATGACACGAGCCTTAATGATGCACCTGATGAACATGATGCATTTATGAATGCTACGATGGCGAACGGCATCTCTCTTCAGGCTCCCGCCGCCCTCCGACTCCGTGGATGACCACGGCTACTTGCCCAGGAGACATTTAAACATGTTGTGAAGCGAGGGGCCTCATGATACTTGACCATTCATCTCGTCGCAGGAAATGGTACGTGATGCCCTCTGAGTCGTGTGTGCCAGGAAAGATGGGGGAGAGGTGCTTGTTACTTTTCATCCCGAGGTCTTGGACAACAACTACGGCACTGCCGAGGAGACCTCACAGACGTGGTGTGCGCAGCAGAAGTGTGCAATGGGTCAACACGTTGGCATGTAAGGAGCTGCAGCACCTAATCGGCAGCATGCACGAGCAGGCATGCGTCGTTTCTCTCGACCCAAGGCCCAAGTGGGCCCAAGTGGGCCTAAGCGGCCCATGGCTGGGAGGAGATCTGGCCCGTCCTGGACGTCGTTGTGAACCACCGCTGTGCCTCATTGCAGGCCAATCGGGCGGTAGGCGGAAGCGGCAGGTGGAAGCCACAAGCGGCAGTGCCCTGCGTGCGGCGAGGACTCGGCGGGGCGCTGGCTGAAGTTCGAGGCGCCTCATCGCCTCAGCATGGCATGCGAGAGCAGCTCGGCTTTTTCGTTGTGCAGGAGCCGGACTGGGAGGGCTGGGCCGTGTGCTGCAACTCGCCGGCTGTGCCCGGGGGCAGCGGCGCCCACACCACGGGCGAGCCGGCCGCGTGCGCCCGCCCCCCCACCGCCACTGCGCCACTCCGCTCCGCCGCTCCGCCGCTCCGCTTCTGTTTGAAAGCGGGTTTAGGGTTTTCGGCTCCGAGCGGATCTGCTGTTTGGAGGTACGCACCCAGCGTGGACCACTCCAATCCTCGCATCCGCTCCGACGTGAACGAGTACATCCGCTACTTGATGGACGAGGCGGCAGGGGCGGCTGCGGGCGGCTGCAACGGCCCCAGCTTCGGCACTGCACCCTAGTGTAGAGTGCAGATCGGCTTCCGCGCGCTGCGCTTCGACTTCGTCAAGGGCTATGCGCCTCGCTTCCAGACGGCGGGAGCATGATGTTCGGCTCGGTTTCAGCATTGTCACTTTATAGCCCGAGCAGGACTACGTCAAGGCAGCGGGCGAGCCCTTTGCCGTTGCCGAGAACTGGAACGGCGACGTGAATGGGTCAAGGTCTCAGAGCTTCAGCATACAAAACGGTTTCTCTTGGTTTTGCTTATAAGCGCAAACTGGCTGAACAGATTTTTCTCGGTTCAATGCTGGTATGCGCAAGCTCGTTCGTCCTTTGACTTGAATTTGTGAAGCTGAGGCTGCACGACTATGTTCGAGAATGTCAAGGCAAGATGGCTGTCTACGACTTCCCGCCCCGTCCTTGGCTCTCAGCCCGCCGAGAGCCGTCCGCGTGGGGTCGCCAATGCTGCGGAGGTTGTACTACGTCCTGAAGCGCTGCATTCACAGCAACAACTTCGAGGCTGCAGTGCTATGAGTGAAGGAAGCTCAGAGCTTCCTCGCGCATGGCTCGCATGGCCCTCATGCGGCGGCGCAGGAGCTGAACTGCGGCGGGCGCCTCGCCGGCATCGCGGGCCGGGACCCCGCGCGCTCCTGTGCGGGGCCCAGAGCAGGGGAGCAGAGGGCCGAGACCTCTCGGCCGCTGCCTGGCATGGGGGCACTCTTCAGAGAGGGTGCTATATAGGACCAGTCGGCCGTCAGCATCGAGATTCGAGCTAAAGGTCCTGAGCCTTGCCCGAGTCTCTGAGCGAAAGGTCCTTGAGAAGATTTTTTTTTTTATTTGCAGCTCTAGTAAGATCCGATCATGTCATGACTTCATGACCTTTAGCCGCTTCCGTCACGCAAATGTTTCTCGCTTGAGACCGTCGAGGTACCTTCATCGACAACCACGACACCTACCAGCTTGCCATTGCTACTTAGCCTCGAGCAAGTCGCTGCCCGGGGGGGCCACGGGGGGTCCTGAGCGTCCGACTGAGGTCGGGGGCTGTTTCGGCAACAACGACCAGGCCTTCTCGTGAAAAGGGCAGCCCGCAGCAAGGCGCTTTCGATCGCCGCCTCGCAGGTGCTGCGGGCCTATGCCCTGATCTTGACGCACCCGGGCACGCCCTGCGTCTTCCACTGGGATTACGCTCTCCGGTTGCAGACTCTCCGGTGCTGCTGCTTGCACCTGTTCTGCGCCTGCACGGTGCCGCGCCAGCGTGAGGTCCGGGCACCCTATGTCCGCGAGAAGCTGCTGGAACTCTGTCCGCCCCGGGACAGGGCGGATGCTTCTGTGAAGTGTTGGGAGCTCCTGTAGGTCTTTACGTCTTGTCCATGAGAGCTGGGGCAGTGAGTTGGAGGAGTGCAAGGATTCGCAATGGCAATATAACTCACCCTTTGTTTCTTACCCAGCACTGCGAAGAAGGGGGCGAGAGCTCAAGCTGACTATTTGTGGCGGTGGTGGTGTCAGCTGAGTGTCAAACATTTCTGCGCATTCAGTACAGGTCAGGTTCATTCAATGCGTGAGGCACCATGTCAGATCTAAGCAGATCGGTCAAGCGAGGGGTTCTGGTGATTCTAGTGCCCGGTCTGGCTCATCCCGGATGGAAGCTGCAAACGAACTCAGTAGCTGTAACTAGTCTCCCACCAGACATGTGGATGTGCGGAGGTGCTGTTCGCAGAGATGCGAACGTACATTCCACGTCCCAGCTGCACATCCACTGTGCAGGCAGGGTGGCAGGCCTAAGTTCCAGTGAGGAGAGAGTACAGTGCAAGGCTCAGAAAGACAAAGAGTCTGGCTCAAGCCGCACTGGATCCAGGAGTTTGGAAACCACAGTTGCAGACGGCGCTGCCGGTGCTGTGCATCTGTGCGCGTTTGTTCGACCACCCTCCCGCCAATGCCCCGCCTCTCTGATACTTCGGTGAGGGATCATCGACGGACAAGCTTTGTTCCTGCGATGTGGGCTGTCCTGCCAAGTGTCCAATTCCAACCCGGGTGGCGTAATCCCAGGCTCGGATCGAGGGGCCCGGAGCGTTGAACTTTGCACCGGAGCCACAATGACGCGTATGCGGGCATGGTCTTTTCGGCGGACGGGCCCGTGGGCCCGTGGGCCCGTGGGGCCGTGGGCCCGTGGGCCCGTTGGTGGGCCCGTGGCGGGCCCGTGGGCCCGCGAGCCCGTGGGCCCGTGGGCCCGTTGAGCCCGTGGGCCCGCTGGTCATGGGCGGTGCTAGGGTCGGGGTGGTAAGAATGGTTGCAAGCCGGAGAGACATTGAATCCTTATTTACAGTGTCCTGCGTTCATGCTGAGTAATTAATCATGTTAAGTATGGCCTAATGCTCCTGCTATACATATACATAAACCCATGAAGCCCTGACTAATCATGCCAAGTATTGCCTAGTACTCCTTGTCTACAAGGGCATACACACATACACACAAGCATGTACACAAATGCACATACATATACTTACACATATACATATGTACATAAAAGTATGCACATATACAATTGCAAGCATGCATGCACACAAATATTTACAGACGTAGCATATATGCATTTACATAGTCCGAAGATGGAGCCTTGGACTGATGGGGCGCTCCTGATTTTAAACTCAGAACTCTCTTGCCGCCCGTGAACTCCGAGGATGGAGCCTTGGACTGATGGGGCGCCCCTGACCTTAAAATCAGAACTCTTACCACCCCTGAACTCCGAGGATGGAGCCTTGGACTGATGGGGCGCCCCTGATTTTAAAATCAGAAATCCTACCACCCCCCTACATACATATATACATACACGCATACATACACACATGCATACATGCATACATGCATACACGTTTACATATACATAGGTACATATATACATATATACATATATACATATATACATATATACATACATACATATATACATATATACATATATACATATATACACAAGCATGTACACAAATGCACATACATTTACTTACACATATACATATGTACATAAAAGTATGCACATATACAATTGCAAGCATGCATGCACACAAATATTTACAGACGTAGCATATATGCATTTACATAGTCCGAAGATGGAGCCTTGGACTGATGGGGCGCTCCTGATTTTAAACTCAGAACTCTCTTGCCGCCCGTGAACTCCGAGGATGGAGCCTTGGACTGATGGGGCGCCCCTGACCTTAAAATCAGAACTCTTACCACCCCTGAACTCCGAGGATGGAGCCTTGGACTGATGGGGCGCCCCTGATTTAAAATCAGAAATCCTACCACCCCCCTACATACATATATACATACACGCATACATACACACATGCATACATGCATACATGCATACACGTTTACATATACATATATACATATATACATATATACATATATACATATATACATATATACATATATACATATATACATATATACATATATACATATATACATATATACACAAGCATGTACACAAATGCACATACATTTACTTACACATATACATATGTACATAAAAGTATGCACATATACAATTGCAAGCATGCATGCACACAAATATTTACAGACGTAGCATATATGCATTTACATAGTCCGAAGATGGAGCCTTGGACTGATGGGGCGCTCCTGATTTTAAACTCAGAACTCTCTTGCCGCCCGTGAACTCCGAGGATGGAGCCTTGGACTGATGGGGCGCCCCTGACTTTAAAATCAGAACTCTTACCACCCCTGAACTCCGAGGATGGAGCCTTGGACTGGTGGGGCGCCCCTGATTTTAAAATCAGAAATCCTACCACCCCCCTACATACATATATACATACACGCATACATACACACATGCATACATGCATACATGCATACACGTTTACATATACATAGGTACATATATACATATATACATATATACATATATACATATGTACATATATACATATGTACATAAATACATATATACATATATACATATGTACATATATGCATAGATACATGTATACATATATACATATATACATACATACATACATATATACATATATACATACATACATACTTACATACATACATACATACTTACATACATACATAAATACATACATACCTACATACATACACACACATACATACATACACATACATACACATACATACATACATACACACACATACAAACATACATACACACATACATACATATATACATACATACATACATACATACCTACATACATACATACATACATACACACACACACACATACATACATACACACACACACACACACACATACATACATACATACATACATACATACATACATACATACATACACACACACACACATACATACATACGTACATACACACACACACATACATACATACATACATACATGGCCCGTGGGCCCGTGTATGGGCCCGCTGGCCCGTGAGCCCGTGGGCCCGTGGGCCCGTGGGCCCGCTGGCCCGTGAGCCCGTGGGCCCGTGGGCCCGTGCATGGTCCCGTGGGCCCGTGGGCCCGTGGGCCCGCTGGCCCGTGAGCCCGTGGGCCCGTGGGCCCGCTGGTCTTGTTTTGACTTGTCTGTCCGTGGGACGGGCCCTTCTCGCGTATGCGGAGGGGCAAAGAAGGCGAGAGGGTCCATTTCCTTGGGCCGGAGAGCACGAGCTGCAGGGTATCCAGGATTTAGTCAGGTTGTAGCGGCTGGACCGTAGCAGACATCAAGGATGCCAACAAGGCGGTCGAGTATGCTATTAGCACTTACGACAGAGGACTTGTTGGAAGACACCAGGAGCTTTGATCAATCTGGTTGTTACGGACGCTTCGCACGCGAATGAGTCCGAGGAGATGATCGTTAATGAAATGACATTCATTGAAGAACGCCGGACAGAGGCCTACACACTTCAAACAGGTGTGGAGGCCGGTGACGTGCTACAAGCAGCGATCACCGACGTCTTCGAATGCCTTGATATGAAAAGGTGGGAGGCTGGGTCGGCCAAGTTCGTAAAGCAGATCTGGATGACAGACTGCAAAAGTCTCAAGCAGGCGTTTTCTAGCCCCAAATGCAACAAGCGCTCGGACAAAAGGTTGAACATCGAAATAGCGTCGCTTCGCCAAGAGCTTTGGCGCAAGGCCGGTGAGAAAGCTGGTCACCCATTTCACGGCGAGTACAAACCAGCGGATGATCAGTTAACTGACATTGTCAGGTGGATTGACACAGGTGTCATGATTGCTGATCCAATGATTGACGTCATGGAGCCCCCCCCAGGTGGTGGAGGCCTTGAGGACAAACACACTAGACGTGGAGCAGCCGCTCGAGAATGTGGTGAAAAAGCGGGCCAACCAGCTTCATAAAAATTCGGCGAAGAAGACTGAAGACGACGATCATTGACGTCGATCCCAGGAGGCAAGTTTCCGCACACTGACGCTGTACAAGTCACGGGTGTGAAACACACCCATTTTCAGAGTGCCATGTTTTGAAACTACAGTTACAGCTTTTGATGGCGCCCCTTGACCGCAAAGCTGCTTAGCAGAAGAGTGACTAGTCTTTGCACATTGACTAATGGCGATCGCATCTGGCGAAATATCCTTTGTTTACGATGCATTAGACACGAATTGCAAATCTTGACGCTTCAGCATTCAATGACATGTAACTTAGTTGTGCCCAACGGCTGGCATGAGTTGGACCCTGCCACGCTGAGCGCCCGTTAGCAACTCACAGCTGATGATGCTTTTTCTCATCCGAATCGCAGCTGCAGTTGAGTGCATTGAAATTTGCTGCTGCTGGTGCACTACATTGAGTTCGAAAGAGAAATATCGAAGCACCGCGGCCGAGCGGCGGTTGAACGGATGTAGAAATGCCTCTTTTTTGTTTAAAATGGCCCCTCCCAACTGGAAACGTTCAACATGGCTTGTGTTTTGAGACTGCATTACCTGCCAGCTCATGGGCTTTACGCTGCCACCATTGGCGGAAATGCGCCGTGCTTAGATTTTCAAGGAATCAATGATCGTTTTCTTTGTCCTCGTCAGCATTGGCATTTGGAATACTGATGCGCTTTTGGTGTGGTGACATTCTTCCCCTGCTCGTCCCAGTCTCACTGCATTCTCTTGCATGAAGCTCTGCTTCAGCCGAGGTCGCGATAAAGATCGGGACCAATGATTGGAGCCCTGGTGGTGGATGGAAGGAGGGATCGGGAAAGCAGGGCCCTCGCCACATCGATTGTCGCGTTTTCGTGGAGGTCGGCTGCTTCGGAACGGAGTTTTGCGTATGGACCAAAGGTTGAGGCCGGGCCCCCGGCCCATGCATTTCTGGCTCTTGCTGGCTCTCTGGGTGCCAGGCTGTTAGAAGAAGCTGGATGTGCCATCGGCTCGGCTCCGCATGTGCTCTCGCTCTGCCGCGGCTCGGTCTCGGATCTCAGGCAAGGGGACGACGGGACTGCCCCAGCGGCCCCTCGCGTCCCCAGTGATCGATTTAGAGCTCAGCGTGTCAGCGTCGACACCGCGGGCATCCCCGGGTCCCGGAAGTTTCAAGTTCCAGCTCCGGCCTCCAAATGAGGTCGTCGCAGGAGCGGAGGAGCCACGAAAAGTGTGTCACGCACTCTCTCCGACTCTGTGACAAAAGAGATGGCGTCTTCTGCCCTCCAAGTCATGCCGTCTCGTGTCCTCTCCAAGTCCATGTGTGGGCTGGTGTAGGTGCGAGGAGCGTGGGGAGCCACAGAGGCAGTAGTGGACAGGTGCCGAGGCGCTGAGAATGGCTGAGACTTCGTCCCATCCAGCCGCAGGGTTTTCGCCGCGCCTCAGGCCACGAGCGGCCCTCGTTTCTGGGATGCATCGTGCCGTGGATGCATTTCATTTCATGCGCGCTGACTGTCCAGAATCCTGCTCGCAGATAGTCGACCCCGGGCTCGCACACGTCAACGGTCGAGCCGAGCGAGAGCACGCGCTGGGCAGTTGGCTTTCCTTCTGACAGCCCTGGCCTTGCAGGCGAGAGATTCGATGACGTGCCGAGAGCGTGTTGCCATGCCGCTATCACTGTCGGTTGTGAGGTATTGGTGCTCCACAGAGGAGTCCTTTGCAGAGCCTTTGGAGCTCCTCTCGACAGAGGCAAGGGACTCCACCGTGCCCGTCCCTGCTCGTCCGTGCCCCTTCAGGCACAGCCCGCAGTTTTTTGCGTTCCGCAAGTTCCGCTAGTTCCCGAAGTTCCAAGGTGCACTTCGCTTGGTCATGTTTTTTTCTTGACCGGTGGCCGGTCGCGGCCTTGCCAGGTGGCGCTGAAGCTGGCGCCGGCCAGTCAGGACAAGACCGAGCACAGCCGAGCACAGCAACAGCCGAGCACAGCCGAGCACAGCCGAGCACAGCCGAGCAGAGCAAGGGCGGCCCCCCCTTTGGTCTTTGGGAGGAGTTGGGCAAGGCTCCTGCACTGCCAGCGCCGACGCTCGAAGGCCTAAACGATGCTCGGCACAGACCAGAGCGCTCAGACTCTGCGCATTTTTCTGCTTTCTCGGAGAGGCCGCCTTCAGCTGCTGAAGCTCCCCACGCGCTTCATTGGTGCTGAGCCTCATCTCTCAATTGGGAGGCCTATCCCCCTCCGACCGAGGTGGGGCCTACTTCTTGTTGATGCTCTCCGTTCCTCCGGCAGATGCAGCAGTCTCGGCCGAATCTGCAGTTCTGCCTAGTTCCTCTCTCCTTCTTCAAACTTCGAAAGCCGCAAAGCTTGTGAAGGCCTTCAGAGCTGTCGAGCCGGACAGCTTTCCAAGGACAGGGTCTGTGTGTGCTCAGGCTTTCAAGGTGCCTTTCATTTTTTGTCGAACCGCCGTGGCAGTCCTTCTAGGATCAGCGATTAATAAGTTCCAAAGCTGCAACATGCTGCAACAACATCTAACCGTCTAACCATCCTCGACATATTCTTCGCCGCCGGTCAGGGTGTTTGTCTTGTTCTTAGGATTGATATCATGGTCTGTGTGCTTCTGCAGTGAGAATGGCAACTGCGGGCTGTGACGGGTAGAATTCCCTTCCGGTGCGGCCGTGAGGACCAACTTGACTCTTCTTCTCGACTCAGGCCGACACGGCATGTACGGCATTACGGGGATAGCTGGGGTGGGGGTGCTGGTGAGGTCTCACTGCAGCCGTGATGCTAACCACAGAAGCACGGGACCCCAGCCGGCCGAATGCAGAACGCACGAGCCCGTGGAGGAAGTTTCCTGTTGAGGTGTGCAAGACTTTGAAGCTGGCCATGGGAGGCGGTTGCCCACGGGTAGAAGACAAAGGCTCTCAGACACCGCGGCTCCGCAGGTGAGGGCTCCTTCTCCTCGGGCGTGGGCGCCACGGGCTCGAGCCTGGACATGCAGCAGGCGCTGCCACTCCAATCCGCGCCGAGCAGAGACGCCGAGCCTGCTGCAGAGGTGCGAGTCGAAGGGGCAGCTCTGGTGGAAGAAGGACGCCAGGCAGAGGCTGCCTCCGTGCCGTGGCCCTCAGAGAGCTCCAGCAGCTCGCGCTGCACTTAGGAAGCCCAGAGCTGCCCTTTGGACCCGATGGCAGGAGCTCTCTGCTCTCTCCGTCTTAGGGCGATTCGGCGATTTCCCTTCGATTTACCAGGAGTGGTGGTTGACAACTTTCCTCAGCTGCGGCTCGGCAGCGGATAGCGGAGTGCGGGGAAGCGAGAGAGCGAATACTTGCGCAGTAGTGGTCGTCGTCGTAGTAGTAGTCGTCGTAGTAGTAGTAGTAGTTGTAGTAGCAGCAGCAGCGCTAGCAGTAGCAGTAGCAGTAGCAGTAGCAGTAGCAGTAGCAGTAGCAGTAGCAGTAGCAGTAGCAGTAGCAGTAGCAGTAGCAGTAGTAGTAGTAGTAGTAGCAGCAGCAGCAGTAGTAGTAGTAGCAGCAGCAGCAGCAGTAGCGGTAGCAGCAGCAGTAGCGGTAGTAGCAGTAGCAGAAGCAGTAGTAGCAATAGTAGTAGTAGTAGCAGTAGTAGTAGTAGTAGTAGTAGTAGTAGTAGTAGTAGTAGTAGTAGTAGTACAGGGCGTACTCTTAGGTTGCCCCAGGCAAATTTTTCCCGCAAATTTGTGTTTGCCGCGGCAGCCGAAACCTTATAATTCGTGGCCAACGCAATACTTTTGAAACGTCGAGGCAGCCAGCAGGGCTCAGGCCGCGTGGCCTTTGTTTGGCTATGTTACCGCCGTGGAACACAACGCCAAGTGCAAAATACGTGGCATGCGCAGTACTTTCCAGGGTGCGAAGAGTATGATGGCAGGAGATGATAGCCGCAAAATTTGTAATTTTTTTGCGCAGATTGGTCTCTGCTGCGGCAGCCGGAACCTCATGACTTTGGAGACTTCGCGGCAGGCAGCAGTGCTCGGGCCGCAGGGCCATTTTTTGGCCATGTTCTTTTTGCACAGCGCAATGTAAGCAAACCCTAAACCGCAAGCCCCATATACACCCTGAAGGGACATGTTGGTAACGATACTGGCACTACGCCCGCGCTCCTAGTAAAGCACTACAGCAGTGGTCAAGGCAGCAGCCGCAACAGTGCTACGCAGTAGCGTCGTATGCTATCGTATAGTCGCACATACCATACCATAGCATGGCCTAGCATGCGAACGGACCTCGATGCCTAGTCCCATTCGTGGGTGTAGCTATTAGCACAATGTCATGAAACCTCATGTACATAGAGCAAGGCACCGTCTTGCGAACCTTGTCTCATCTTGCCTGCTCAAGTGTGGGCTATGCTAAAGGGCATACACCTACTGCCGTGCTAGCAGTAGCTAGTAGCCTGTGATCGACCGAGAGGATCAGAGCCATTCCCGTGCACAGACATCTCGTCGCAAATCTTTGACGAAAAAAGAAGCGGTCCGAGTTTGCCTGCACGGGGTGAGTGGAGAGCGTGTGGTATCACCGGACGTCTGTCAAGGCAACCGTCAACAATATCTATTAGCTCGGTGAGGTGAGCAAGCGCAAGACAATCATCAATACCAAACCCTCACGCAGGTTATCAGCCGTAGGCTCTGCCTACAAACAGAAGGTGATCGTTGATTTAGAACATCCACAATGACTTCTGGTTCAAGCACAGATACGACATGGACCTTCAGTGGTGAAGTGGCAGCTCCAGCCGTTGGGGAACCAACATCTGAAGGACAAAGGAAAGCCTTCCTCGTCTGCCATGGCCAAAGTGGCCCCCAAAGAGAAGAATTTGTCAAGAGCATCTACGCCTTCTCGTCCAACATCCGCAGGATCGAGGACAGCAAAGGCAAGTGATCGACGTTCCGATGCATCTGGTTTACAGGTGATGCGAACTCCGTCAAGGGGAAAGGACAAAGGGTCTAAGGCCACGGAGAAGATTTCCAAACCGAGTTCTTCAAGAAGTTCCTCTTCAAGGTCGCGGACTTCGGCAGAATTCCGTGAGAAAGCCATGACATGGCAACGGATGGTCATTGGTCAACATCCTCCTTCCGATGATAGGCATCGAAAACCTGCAGAAATGCAAGATGTACAGTAGAGCCTGAGGAAGAGATGACGATGGAGACCATCTGGAAGCTGCAAGTTTTGCAAAGCAGATGTTTCAGCAGAGCGAGATACAGAAGTATGAGGGCATTGTACAGACGTTGATCGACAACGTCAAGGAGATGGAACAAGAAGATGAAGGATCGGAAATTCGGATTAGTGAATTGGAACGACAGCGTGACACAGCTTGTCTGGCCTTGCAACATATGAACAATGTCAATTTTGAGATGAAGCGTGATTATGAAGTGGCGATGTTCAGGATGGGCGAACAGAGCACGGCTCAACGGCATCAAGGATATGCTCTCGCCGAGGAACTCGCACAACAACTACATTCGGTCCGCAGTGAAGCCCCTACGAACTTCGTGCAGTTTGGAGGAGAAGCGCAAGGCGATGGCATGGAGAGTACGAAAGACTCCCAGACGAGTTTCGTGACCAAGCAAGAGAGAATTTGCAACTTCGAGCCAATGTGGCAGGTTCTGAACATGCCATATCAACTATGTGAGAACAATTTCAACTCATCAAGAACGAAGAGACTGTGGCCGTCAGTGACATGCATGGCGCACGAGTTGCTGCGCAATATGAACACCAAAGGCTACAGAGAAGAGGAAGAGTTTCGCACCATGCCGGTAAGAAGAATGCAGGAAGCTGAAAGTCAACTTCGACACCATGAGGACCATGCGAGGCAAGCTTTGCCAACGATGCATGACGAGGAATCCTGAATCAGCGCCCAGGAGCAAGGATGAGTCGATTCATGAAGCACGAATAAAGCAACTGGAAGACGAGTACATCGCTCAAATGGTCGAAACGAGATTGGAGGTGCCGAAAGCTCAGAAGGCGGAACAGCGTTAGCGTGTGGATCGCGACGAGTGGAAACTGATGGCAGAAAACTTGCAATCCACGGGAGATGAGAACGGAAGAGCATGATGAAACTGAAGGTAAAGGGGATGATCCTCCTCTACCGGCTGAGCGGCCACTTGTGCAAAGATTTGCCCAGTCGCTTGTGCAAAGAGTTGCCTGGTCGCTTGTACGCGCGGAGGTGCGTTTTGTATCGGCAGGGCCAATGAATTCGCAGTTCGTTACTTGTAACTTGGTGATGTTCGGGAGCCTGAAAAGTGCATGAAACGTCGGCAGGGCCGTGGTTTCCGGCTTTGGGCGTGCATGCTCGAAATCGCGCTTTTTGGTCTCGAAGTTGTGAAAGTGCTGGCAGGGCCAGAGGATTCGGCTTCGCCGCATCGGTCTTTTGCGCGTGTTTTCAAGCGCTTGAAGGCAAGCAATCGACGCGAAACCTCGACAGGGGCGGCGGTTTTGCTGCATGCCGCATGCCTTCAAATCGATGTTGGTTATTGGCGGATCGTTGAAACAAAGCGTGTTTTGCAAGCTTATTTCTGTACCTTGCAGCTATTTTCCTTGGATGGCGGACGCTACTAGCCCCCACCCCACCCCCCACCCCCCCCTGAGACCAACAAGAACGCGCTGGTGCCAGCAAGACTTCTCTTGCTGCGCGCGTCAAACACGGACGCTCTTATCCCCGCACGCGTCAAACGCGGACGTTATTAGCACCCCCCCACTCGCTCCCCCTGAGACCAAAAACAACGTGCTGGTGCCAACGAGACTTCTGTTGCTGCACGCGTCAAACTCGGACGTTAATAGCCCCGCCCCCCACCCCCCACCCACCCACCCACCCGCCCCCCCGGCCCCATCCCCCCCGGGACCAACCAAAACGTGCCTTTCGAGCCTCCAAAAGTGCGTTTTCGATGGTGCCGTTTTCAGTCCCCGAAGCATGCTCTGAAAACGCTTCTCCGGAAACCTGCTTTTGGAGCTTCCAAAAGTGCATTTTCGATGGTTCTGAGAAGTTTCCTAAAACAGCTCAAAACGCACTTTTCGGCCAGCACTTGCCGCCTTGGCAAGTGCACTTTCCTGTGGTTTTACAATGGATTCGGAACTTTGCCGCGCAAATCCGCTAACTTGCAAAGTGGACGTTCCTATGGTTTTTACAATGGATTCGACACTTTTCCATGCTTGTTGCAGCCATTTCCGAAAAAGACCGAAGTGCACTTTCCTATGGTTTTTATAATGGTTTCGACACCCGTCTTTGCGCAAGCGACTTGGCAAATCTTTGCGCAAGCGACGCGAATTTCTTTGCGCAAGCGACGGTGCTGCCTCCTCTACCTGGCGACGATGGCGGTGATGGCGGGCAACCACGAAGACATGGAGGTGACGTGATCCTGGACCTGATCCACCAGACAGAGGTGATCCTGATGCAGGCGACGACCCTGAAATCACAGACGTCAAGATCTCTAGACGAGAAGCTGATAAGCACTGATAAGGTCGTTGTTCCTTCTTTCTCAGTGGTGACACACTTAGAAAATTGGATGTTTCGGATTTCGTCCTCATCCGGACATAGAAGCCCAGGAATTCAAGAGCATAGATGTCAAGCTTGGCGTTGCGATGACAGCCATGCTACGTGCCGGAAGCGACAAAGCAGCAGATCTCTACTTGGAAGTGAAACACAACGCAAATGAGTACGTCCGCTCGTATGAAGGCAAGATCATCCAGGGTCGTCAGATCATTGCGATGATGTTTGAGAGCTTCAGAACAGGTGACAGATTGGACATGATCGTTTCTCTGGACCATCTCATCAAGCTTCAGTATCAAGGTGACAAGAAGCTTCACCAGTTCAAGCAGACGTGGTTGGAGATCCTTTCCCGGATGCGACGAGCGGACGTCCCGTCCGAGACGGCACTGCGGGATTGCTTGTACAACAAGACCAATGATTCTCAAGTCATGAAACGGGAACTGTGTTCGAATTATGAGGATCGAATCGATCATACTCCAACCTCCTCAAGATCATTGATCGCACAATCATGCGGAGACGCGAGCAATCTAACCTGGTACAGCCACAAGTCGGTTTGCGACAGATGCTGGAAGGGAAAGATTTTTAGGCGGCGAATGCTCATGCGAAGACAAAGCCCAAACCCAACAAAGCAGCAAGGAGCGTGTCGACGGACTCCAACGGTGACAAAAGCAAGAAGCACATTCGCTGCAAATTCCACTTCACAGATGCGGGGTGCAGAAATGGAGATAAGTGTTCGTTCAAGAAGACTCCGGAGAGGTCATCGACTCCTAACCGATCAAGGACCCCAAGTCCATC